TTGTGGGTCACCTCACTTGCTCTCCACAATCACTGTAGAATTCCAAAACAAACTGTTTTCAGAAGAAAAACAGACTCTTCAGTGGGTTCTCCCATGCTAGAAACAAAAACAGGGTTCAATGGCACCAAGAAGGAAAATGGAGAGGGGAACAACAAAAGGAAGAAGAAAAATGAATACAGTTCTCTTTTGTTTAAGGAAACAAAGTGACCTAAAATAATTTACTGAGAAGCCTGCAGAGCTTCCCACAAAGGTGCAAATGATGGGTGATATTTGTATTCTAAGATAAACAAAAGCAAATTTATTTTCTCCATGTTAAAAGGATATGTTGGTCACACAAGTTTTACCTATTCTGACAAAGCAAGATGAAAGAGAGAGTGAGAGGGAAAACCAACCCAGAGGCTATTTTGCTAACATGCTCTCTGGCTTCTACTCTGGTAATCTAGGTTACCCTTTATGTTACCCTGAGATATAAATAGCATTCATTTCCTTTCACTGGCCAGACAGACTTTAATACTTTGTTTCCTGGGTCTAGAAGAAAAAATAACACATCTTCTCCTTTAAATTTGAGTTACTACAAAGCTGACTCATTTCTTTTTTTTTTTTTAAGATGGGGTTTCACCATGATGGCCAGGCTGGTCGTGAACTCCTGACCTCAGGTGATCCACCCACCTCGGCCTCCCAAAGTGCTAGGATTACAGGCATGAGCCACTGCACTGGGCCTTCTTTTTCTTTCTTTTTTTTTTTCTTCTTGACGGAGTCTCACTCTGCTGCCCAGGCTGGAGTGCAGTGGCATAATCTCGGCTTACTGCAACCTCCACCTCCCAGGTTCAAGCAGTTCTCTGCCTCAGCCTTCCGAGTAGCTGGGATTATAGGCATGTGCCACCACGCCCAACTAATTTTTGTATTTTTAGTAGAGATGGGTTTCACCATCTTAGCCAGGCTGGTCTTGAACTCCTGACCTCATGATTCACCCACCTCGGCCTCCCAAAGTGCTGGGATTACAGGCATGAGCCACCTCTCCTGGCCCAAGCTGACTCATTTCTAATCAACCACTAAATTAAAAAAAACCACTTCAAAAGGCCAAAATTTATTTGCTATTACCGCTTTGTTAAAATAGCTCAGAATGGCCCCTGTGGGACTTCTGAGTAGCCATTTCCTTTCTAGCACATATTTCAAAATCCTCCAGAACACAGCTCCAGGCCTTTGCATGTACCAAGGATGCAATGCAGGTGAACATTTGACAGACTGACTTGGGTAAGTACTGGGCCCTGTGCAGGCAGGATCCTCAATGGGGTTTTCTGGATAAGAGCAATTTCAGTTGCTAGATGGAAATAATGAGGCATTTCTCCCAAATCAGACTTCACTCTTTTTAAGGAAAGAAAAAGCTGCACAAGGAAGTTGACAGCATCCCTGGTCATCTAGTGGTTAGAAAGAAAAAAAGAAAAAGATATTAAGAGCATTTAAATAACTGAAGGAGCAGAAAGACGCCTACTAACCCAACTACCAATCTAATGTCACTGCAAGTTGGCCTTGGTAACTGGCACTTGAAGTAATGGAAGAGGCCAAGAGAATCATATGAACAGGCTGCCACTCAACTAGAAGCATTACCTCAACACCACAACTTAGCTCCTAGATACCAATCTGAACCTGAAGACATGGATCCCAGTCTGAAACTAGCTTCATTTCATTCTTCTAATATAATCCCTACCAAGCTCTCCCTACAAGGAACACTGTCCTGCTGGGCCAACCCTATACTCTGTTACCTCTATCTATGTATTATCAGACCCCTCTCCATCAGACTGCCAGCTCCTGGGGGGAGCCTTGTTTTTCCTGTCGTGCATCAAAAACGGCATATAAATATATATATTGTGTATGTATATATACATATGTGTATGTGTATATATATATGTGTGTGTATATATATATGTATATGTGTGTGTGTGTATATATATATATATATATATATATATATATATATATATATATTTGAGACGTAGTCTTGCTCTTGTCACCCAGGCTGGAGTGCAATGGCATGATCTCGGCTCACCGAAATCTCTGCTTCCTGGGTTCAAGCAATTCTCCTGTCACAGCCTCCCATGTAGCTGGGACTACAGGCTCCCACCACCGTGCCCAGCTAATTTTTTTTTTTTGTATTTTTAGTAGAGATGGGGTTTTACCGTGTTAGCCAGGATGGTCTCGATCTCTTTTTTTTTTTTTAATTTTTTAAATTTTTTTACTTTTTTTAAGACAGGGTTTAACCATGTTCGTCAGGCTGGTCTTGAACTCCCAACCTCAGGTGATCCGCCCGCCTTGGCCTCCAAAGTGCTTGGATTACAGGCGTGAGCCACCACGCCCAGCTGGTCTTGATCTCTTGACCTCATGATTCACCTGCCTTGGCCTCCCAAAGCACTGGGATTACAGGCATAAACCACCACGCCCGGGCTAATTTTTGTATTTTTAGTAGAGACACAGTTTCACCACGTTGGCCAGGCTGGTCTCAAACTCCTGACTTCATGATCTGCCTGCCTCGGCCTCCCAAACTGCTGGGATTACAGGCGTGAGCCACCATGCCTGGCCAAAAACAGCATTTTTAAGCAACGTTTGCCTTGGGTTTTCTAGGCTTTCTGGAAGTGGGTATTTGGATCATATGCATATAAGAAGAAACAAATCTACTACTCTGTTTTCCTTGGGACCTGTATCGACATCCAGAGGCAGCCCAAAAGGTTCTTCCTACCTGTTATAGAAGATGTAACTCTCCTCTGAGGTCAGAACAACTCTGAAAACAGAGATAACCCAAATAGAACTGGGGGCCTTGATGCCATTTCTTAGCAATTTTAGCAGGAGCAACTTAGCAATTAATAGTGTAACCCCACTTACTGTAGGTATTATGATAAGACAAAAATTTTTTTTGAGATGGAGTTGCGCTCTGTCTCCCAGGATAGAGTCTAGTGGTGTAATCTCAGCTCACTGCAACCTCTGCCTCCCAGGTTCAAGCGATTCTCCTACCTCAGCCTCCTGAGTACCTGGGATTACAGGCATGCAACATCACACCCATCTAATTTTTGTATTTTTAGTAGAGATGGGATTTCGCCATGTTGGCCAGGCTAGTCTCAAACTCTTGACCGCAGGTGACCTACCCGCCTCTGCTTCCCACAGTGCTGGGAGTACAGGAATGAGCCACCACACTCAGCCAACAAAAATTTTTAAACTATTTATTTATTTTACAGACAATCTCACTATGTTGCCTAGGCTGGAGTGCAATAGCTAATTCACAGGATCAATCATAGTGCACATCACCCTCACACTCCTGGGCTCAAGCTTTCCACCTCAGCCTCTCAAGGAGCTGGGACTATAGATACGCACCACCACACTCGGCTTTCAAATTATTTTAAAAGAAAAATAAAACCGAAATCTTAACAACAATAAATCCTCTCCAGCATGTGGCTCGGAAAAGAAACGAAAGCTTGAGATCCCTGCACATTTCTCACCCAGGGGCAGCTAACTGGCTTCAGAGTTGAAGACTAAGGGAGTGAAATGCCTGCATGACCTAGCTCTGGTGTACTGGCTGAGAACACAGCACCCACCTCTTTCTGCTGCCATTGGGCTTGTCCTCCACCAATTGTCTGCATTCTGGCAGTCTCTTGTGAAGGGACAAGGAGATGATGTGCTCTTAAACGCTCACCTGTCCCAGCACCAAAGCCCAGAATGTCATGGAAACTCAAGCGATAGTGAACTCTGAGATAAGCCCAAGGAAGATGCAAACTATCAGCACCATCAGGCGCTTCAATCGCACCTTGTGGTGGCTGCAATGAAGGAGAAACGTAAGCACTGAGGAAGTCCTCTGCCCACCTCGTTTCCTCTCATTTTACAAACTCTTGTGCAACATGCCACTCCTCCCTGCCCCTCAGTTTCTAAGCCTTGTAAGAGCAAGTGGAGTGCTGACCCACACTTTACACAGGTACTTGACAGCCTCTTCATTGCTGGCAAATGACTGAGGAAAGAGGTACAAATAGGAACTAAGGGTCATGCCAAAGCTTGCACATAAATGGAGCCTCATGGACACACCCAGGGGAAAAAAGCACCTGGAGCCCTTGCAGAAAACCCTGGAGCTGGACGAAAAAAGCAGACTCACCCAAATTTCATCCCTGAGCCTCCTATCTCCAAATGACAAGCTCCTGTTCAACAGCTGGCCTTCTGTGCTGCCCATTATTCATCAACAGCTAGGTGGGAAAAAACCTAGTCCCTTTAAAACCTGTAACATCATCCTAGCCTCTAGTCCCAGAGTAGACGGGGCTCCCCAAGACTCAAGCCCTGTGCACTGCACTATCATCACAGGGGCTAAGGACTGACAGGACCCCAACATATACCATACCTCACCCAAAGGAAGGCTCTGTCATAGGGAGTGCAACCCGTACGAGACAAACTTCGGAAGGTCAGGATTGAAGAGCAAGCTCAGATGGCGAAACAGGCCCAGAGAGTGGCCCGAGGTCACACAGCGTGTTCGAAACGGAGCTTTACTAAAACCCCAGCCTCCGGATTCCCGAGTATCCCATTCTCACCCTCCTGCTCTCGTCACGCCCAGCTGAGAAAAACGTAACAGAACTTCTGCCCCAGAGTCCCAGCCTCCGGACGGTCACCAAGACTTTGGTCATCGCCCCGTGCGTCTACCGGCCAAACCGCTGACCCTACCCACCCATGGGCCGGGCCCACCGCCGCCCCCGGCCCAAATCCCCAGCCCAGTTTCCCGCCGCCCGCCGGACCTGCAGAGTTGCGCTCCCGAGAGCCGCCGGCAGCAGACATTTCCCTATCTGCCTCCTCAAGCTCTTCATCCCGCCGCCCGTCCCGCGCCCTCCACTCCCAGACGAACCCGCCCCCTTGTGCCCCCTCCACCAATCGAAAGCCTGTCTTCTCCATCGCTCCGCCCCAAAACAGAATAGAGCCCGCCCCCTGAAGCCAGGCCTCCTCCAATCCCCACCGCTTCTTCCGAGACGGATACCTGCCTCCGCCAATTGTCGCGCACCCTAGCCAGGTACCTGCGGCCGAGTTACAATCTAGCGGCGTTGGCAGCTCAGGCTCCGGCTCTGGGCGCCTGTACCGAGTCAGCCACAGGAATTCAGGATCCCGGGTCGCAGAATCGAAGCCTGTGCAGGAACAAGGAGGGCAGACTGAGCCATGGGCTTGAAGAGCAGGCTCTGCATGATTGTATTATCCCGAGACCCTCCTAGCCTGTTTCTTTTGCGCACAGAAGGGTCTGAGGTTAAAATGCAAGAATAATTGTGAACACAAAAGTACTATTCCAAGGCAGAGACCCCGCCATTCCTGAACCTCACGGTAACTATGTGCCAAGGTCTGTGCTTCGTATAAATATTATCTTCCTACTCCTCGTAACACACTTCATGAGGGAGAAAACTATTATTATTATTTTTTTTTTTTTTTTGAGATGGGGTCTGACTGTATCCCCTAGGCTGCAATGCAGTGGTGCGATCTCAGCTTACTGCAACCTCCACCTCCCAGATTCAAGCGATTCTCCTGCCTCAGCCTCCCGAGTAACTGGGATTACAGGCACTTGCCACCACGCCTGGCTAACTTTTGTATTTTTAGTAGACTCAGGGGGTTTCACCATATTGGTCAGGCTGGTCTCCAACTCCTGACCTCAAGTGATCTGCCAGCCTCAGCCTCCCAAAGCATTGGGATTACAGGCATGAGCCACCACACCCAGCCTATTATCCCAATTTTATATACAAGGCAGCCGACTTCAGAGAGGTTAAGTCTAAGGTCACAGAGTGACTGGCAGAGTGTAGGATTCAAACAGATGCCAGAAGGTTGGAGGATTTCACTACCCATAAACTCCACCAGCAGTTGGCAGCCCACTCCAGAGAAACGCACGCTCTAAGCAAAGCAGTGTGTTTACTATGAAATATATCAAGTCCTCTATTTCTCCCTTCACCAGACTGCCACTCTCCTTCCTAGAAATGCTTGAGTCACCTCTGTCTCTGACTCAACCCCTCTGACTCAAACTATCTGACTCTGGAACAATTTTTCTTAACCCTTCTGCTATCCTGACTGCTCTGTTTGTGGAACTGCATGAACCTGACCAAACTGAATTGGATGTGCAAGGACATGATACATGAGAAGACATGAGTTCCAGTCCTAACTATGGCACTGTCAGACACAGCTTTTAAGTTATCTTCAGCATTTACATACTACTAACCCATATTTGGCCTCACCTGATTCTCACAAAACTCTTGGATTATTAGAGAAGGCAAGTTTATATTTCCATTGTATAAGTAAGAAAGCCAAGGTCTGAAAAAATAAAATATGGTAGTGGCTGGGCACAGTGGCTCACACCTATAATCCCAGCATTCTGGGAGGTTGAGGCTAAGGTCAGAAGTTTGAGACCAGCCTGGCCAACATAGTGAAACACTGTGTCTACTAAAAATACAAAAAGGCCAGGCATGGTGGCTCAAGCCTGTAATCCCAACACTTTGTGAGGCTGAGGTGGGTGGATCAAGAGGTCAACAGTTCGAGACCAGCCTGGACAACATGGTGAAATCCCATCTCTACTAAAAATACAAAACATTAGCCGAGTGTGGTGGTGTGCGCCTATAATCCCAGCTACTGAAAAGGCTGAGGCTGGAGAATCGCTTGAACCCAGGAGGCGGAGGTTGCAGTGGGTTGAGATCATGCCATTGCATTCCAGCGTGGGTGACATGGTGAGACTCTGTCCCCCAAAAAATAAAAATACAAAAATTAGCTGGGCATGGGGGCGGGTGCCTGTAATCCCAGCTACTTGGGAGGCTGAGGCAGGAGAATCATTTGAACCTGGGAGGTGGAGGTTATAATGAGCCAAGATTATGTCACCACACTCCAACTTGCATGACAGAGCTAGACTCCATCTCACCCAGGTGCCTCCCTGAGGAAATCTCCATCATGACAAGCACTCAGGGAAGTTGGTTGGTACAGAGTTTCTCTGCTGGTTACCCCAGATGTGGTGTGGACCCCAGAAAGATGAGCAGGTAACGGGACTGCAAGACACACACTCAATGCTAAAAGAAAGAAGTCATCCTTGGCCAGGCACAGTGGCTCACGCCTGTAATCCCAGCACTTTGGGAGGCCAAGGCGGGCAGATCACGAGGTCAACAGTTGAGAGCGGCCTGACCAACATGATGAAACCCTGTCTCTACTAAAAAAAAAAAAAAAAAAAAAAAAACAAAAATTAGCTGTGTGTGGTAGCACACGCCTGTAGTCCCAGCTGCTGGGGAGGCTGAGGCAGGAAAATCACTTGAACCCGGGAGGCGGAGGTTGCAGTGAGCTGAGATCGCGCCACTGCACTCCAACGTGGGCAACAAAGAGACAGATTCTGTCTCACACACACACACAAAAAAAGTCATCTTTGACTCCTCTCCTTCATTCTCATAGCCAGCTACCAATCTCTGTTCATGCATTCAACAAATACTTATTAAGTGCCTGCTGTATGCCAGGCACTGTTCTGATCTCTGCAGATGAAGCTGTGAATGTGACCCAAACTCACTGCCCCCATGGTGCCTTCATCCTCATCTCTTCGACTTCTGTATCTTGAAAGTCCGTCCCTCCTTCCTATTCTTATCACCAGGGCTCTCCCAGGCCCCAGACTCACTTTCCATTCCTCAGCTATTGCAAAACATTCCTGTCTCCCTGCTCTAGGCTTTCTTTTTCTATGCCAGTTGCCTGAGGAACTTTTCCAACTTGCAAATCTTGCCTTATCACTCTCCAGCTTAAAATTGCTTAATGGCTCTCTCTAATCTATAGGGCAAAGTCCAAGCTCTTTGCTGGGTAGCTAAGACTCTTCATGAGATGCCCTCTGCTGACCTCTCCTGGCTAAACTGTCTCCACACCCTCCTCCTACCCCACCAAAGGTCCTGCTCTTCCCTCCAACTGCCATGTCCTTTTCCTCCTTGTTGCCTGCCTGGGGAAAAACTCTTCATCTTTCTAGCCTAAGCTTAAATATCACCTCCTACATGAAACCTTTCTGAGCTGTTTATAGGGGAGAGGGTGCCATGAGTTAAGGAAGCACTATAGCAAAACACTCAAGAGCTCAGGCTCTGGAGTAGAACTTATTTGTTTTTTAAGAGAGAGAGTCTCGCCAGGCACAATGGCGCGTGCCTGTAGTCCCAGCTACTTGAAAGGCTGAGACTGGAGGATCGCTTGAGTCCAGGAGTTCTGGGCTATAGTGCATTATGCCGATCGGGTGTCCGCACTAAGTTCGGCATCAATATGGTGATCTCCCGGGAGTGGGGTACCACCAGGTTACCTAAGGAGAGGTGAACCGGCCCAGGTCGGAAACAGAGCAGGTCAAAACTCCCGTGCTCATCAGTAGTGGGATCACGATTGTGAATAGCCACTGCACTCCAGCCTGGGCAACATAGCAAGACCACATCGAGAGAGAGAGAGAGAGAGAGAGAGAGAGAAACTCTGTCTCAAAAAAAAAAAAAGAGAGAGAGAGATAGAGTCTTGCTCTATCACCCAAGCTGGCGAACAGTGGCATGATCTTGGCTCACCGCAACCTCCGCCTCCCAGGTTCAAGCAATTCTCCTGCCTCAGCTTCCTAAGTAGCGGGGACTACAGGCATGCACCACCACGCCCAGCTAATTTTGTATTTTTAGTAGAGACAGGATTTCACTATATTTTAGCCAGTCCAGTCTCGAACTTCTGACCTCAAGTGATCCACCTGTCTCAGGCCTCCCAAACTGCTGGGATTACAGGTGTGAACCACTATGCCCAGCCTGGAGTAGAACTATCTAATCCTACCTAATCTTGGCTCTATCATTTACCAGCTAGGTACTCAGGCAAGGCTCTCACCCTCTCTAAGCCTCAGTTTCCTCATTTGTGAAATGGACACATCAGTAATACTTGTCTGATAAGATCATGGTAAAGAGTAAATGAGGCCAGCATGGTGACTCATGCCTATAATCCCAGCACTTTGGGAAGATGAGGTGGGCAGGTCACCTGAGGTCATGAGTTCAAGACCAGCCTGGCCAATGTGGTGAAACCTGTTCTCTACTAAAAATACAAAAATCAGGCTGGGAATAGTGGTTCACACCTGTAATTCCAGCACTTTGGGAGGCCAAGGCGGGCGAATCACGAGGTCAGGAGTTCAAGACCAGCCTGGACAACATAATGAAACCCCATCTCTACTAAAAATACAAAAAATTAGCTGGGCATGATGGTGGGTGCCTGTAATCCCAGCTACTCTGGAGGCTGAGGCAAGAGAATCACTTGAACCCGCGAGGTGGAGGTTGCTGTGAGCTGAGATTGTGCCACTGCACTCCAGCCTGGGCAACAGTGCAAGACTCGGACTCAAAAAAAAAATATCTGGCAGGGCATGATGGCTCATGCCTGTAATCCCAGTACTTTCAGAGGCCAAGTTGGACGGATCACAAGGTCAGGAGTTTAAGAGCAGCCTGGCCAACATAGTGAAACACTGTCTCTACTAAAAATACAAAAATTAGCCAGGCATGGTGGCATGCACCTGCAGTCCCAGCTATTCGGGAGGCTGAGGCAGGATAATCGCTTGAACCTGGCAGGTGGAGGTTACAGTGAGCCGAGATCGCGCCACTGCACTCCAGCCTGGGTAACAGAGTGAAACTCTGTCACAAACAAAAAACAAAACAAAAATCAGTCAGGTGCAGTGACTCATGCCTGTAATCCCAGCACTTTGGGAGGCCAAGGTGGACAGATCACTTGAGGTCAAAAGTTCCAGACCAGCCTGGCCAACATGGTGAAACACTGTCTCTACCAAAAAATACAAAAATGAGCTGGGCATGGTGGCATGTGCCTGTAGTCCCAGCTACTTGGGAAGCTGAGGCAGGAGAATCACTTGAACACAGGAGGTGGAGGTTGCAGTGAGCTGAGACAGTGCCATTGCACTCCAGCCCTGGAGGGCAACAAGAGCAAAACTCGGTCCCCTGCAAAAAAAAGAGTAAATGAGATAATGTGTGAAAAGTTCTTGGAATGGTCCCTAACACATGCTAAATCAACAATGAATGTGTGCTATGAGCCTTCCTGTAGAGAGGAAAAACATTTTCTGAGTTTCTGCTGTGTAGTAGGCACTTATACATGTGTTATCTCATTTAATTCTCACGACCCCATGAATAAAGTATTCATTACATTACAGAAGCTTACAAAAACTAACGTTCAGAGAGGTGAAGTAGCTTGCCCAACGTTGCACAGCTAGGAACTGGCAGAGATGAGTTTCAAACTCAAGGGGCTGTGTAACTTCAAAGGCCAGGCTCTTTGGTGTTATTTCTACTATTTTACCTCCTACAACTACTAGTAATAATCATAAAATATGTTATCCTTTTTTTTTTTGAGACAGAATTTCACTCTTCTTACCCAGGTTGGAGTGCAATGCCACGATCTCGGCTCACTGCAACCTCCGTCTCCTGGGTTCAAGCAATTCTCCTGCCTCAGCCTCCCGAGTAGCTGGGACTACAGGTGCGCACCACCATGCCCAGCTAATTTTTGTATTTTTAGTAGAGATGGGGTTTCACCATGTTGACCAGGATGGTCTTGATCTCTTGACCTCATGATCCACCCGCCTCGGCCTCCCAAAGTGCTGGGATTATAGGCGTGAGCCACCGCGCCTGGCCTATCCTTATTATTTTAAGATGTAGAGATAAATTTCCCCCTACTTAATAAATCTTAAACCTCTTGGCTGGGAACAGTGGCTCATGCCTGTAATCTCAGGACTTTGGGGGGGCTAAGGTGGGTGGATCACCTGAGGTCAGGAGTTCGAGACCAGCCTGACCAATATGGTGAAACTCCATCTCTACGAAAAATATAAAAAATTAGCTGGGCGTGTTGGTGGGGACCTGTAATCCCAGCTACCCTGCAGGCTGAGGCAGGAGAATCACATGAACCTGGGAGGCGGAGGTTGTGGTGAGCTGAGATAGCACCGTTTTGAGACTCTGTCTCAAAGAAATAAAATAGGTAAATAAAGCTCTTAACCAGGCAATCAAGGCTTTATAATCATATTTCTACTTTCTTATTTTATTTATTTTTTTTTGAGACCAAGTTTCGCTTTTGTTGCCCAGGCTGGAGTGCAATGGCACAATCTCGGCTCACTGAAACCTCCACCTCCTGGGTTCAAGCAATTCTCCTTCCTCAGCCTCCTGAGTAGCTGGAATTACAGACATGCACAATCATGCCCAGCTAATTTTTGTATTTTTAGTAGAGATGGGGTTTCTACATGTTGGTCAGGCTGGTTTCAAAATCCTGACCTCAGGTGATCCACCTGCCTCAGCCTCCCAAACTGCTGGGATTACAGGCGTGAGCCACTGCACTCGGCTTTTTATTTTACTTTATTTTTGACAGGGAGTCTTGCTCTGTCGCCAGGCTGGAGTGCAGTGGCTCAATCTCGGCTCACTGCAACCTCAGCCTGTGGGTTCAAACGATTCTTCCACCTCAGCCTCCCAAGTAGCTGGGACCACAGGCATGTGCCACAATGCTGGGCTAATTTTTGTATTTTTAGTAGAGACAGAGTTTCACCATGTTGGCCATAATGTTCTGGATCTCTTGACCTTGTGATCCACCTGCCTTGGCCTCCCAAAGTGCTGGGATTACAGGCGTGAGCCACCGTGCCCAGCCTTTTTATTTTATTTTTTAGAGACAGGAGTCTCACTCTGTCGCCCATGCTGTGGTGCAGTGGCGTGATCATAGCTCACTGTAGCCTTAATCTCCTGGGCTCAAGTGATCCTCCTGCCTTAGCCTCCCAAGTAGTTGGGATTACACACAAGCTACTAGGCCTGTTTCTTTTGTTTCCTTTTCCCTTATCCCCTAGTTTGTATCCAAGGACAGTCCCCTTCCTGTCACACCAACCAAAATAAAGTAAAGCCCCTGGATGCTCAGACTCCACAGTGAGACCACAGAGAACACCAGCCCTCTCCTGTTCCCACAAAGACAAGAGATTAGCTTGAAAGAAGACAGCTAAAAGTGCTGGGTAAACACTTAAGCCCCAGCACCTGTTGGCCTGAATTTGCATGTTCTATCCTCAGCTCTGTACACAAACTCTCCTTTACCTGCCAGGCTAACTTCCCCTTCTAAACAAATTTTGTTCTAGAGGCCACTAACCTTTCACTGCAAGCCCAAAGCTAGACCATTTTTTCAGCTGCAGTTAAGTGACAGCACGGTTCGAGGGCAGGAGAGCCAATATGACAGATGGTTCTAGCTGTGAGTTCTGGCTGTGGGTAGCAGAGAGAGGGAAGATGGGCTGCTAGAAGCTGCTTAGCCTGCCAGCTTTTAAGAGATTCTGCATTACAGTCACAACCTATCCTGTGCAACCCTGCCCAGAGCCAGGAGGGCAAAAGGGCCCTGCCTTAGTTAACAATCAACTCTAGACACTGTAAATACAAAAACAAACACTGTGGTTGGCTGGCAGCCTAGGGGCACTGTGGCTTTACACCAGCAGCTTCAAAAGGACACAGAAACCATGAGGTATGAGTACAAGAATACCCAGCCCCCCACCCCCCACCCCAGGGAGCCTGGGGTCTTACCTACCTGGACAGGCCCTGGCAACTTCGTGGAGGAACATCCTGGTTTGTGAACCAAAGGGTAGCTGGAAGATGAGGCTAAGCTCCGCTGTGTCGAGCTGGACAGTCACATCTGAGCCTGCACAAAGGAAGCCAGAAATGAACCCTCGGCAGCCAGGAGCTAAGTGCTTGATGCTGAGACTGGAGTCCTCAGAATGGAAAATCAGGATCTTGCTCTGTCACGCGGGCTGAAGCCCTTAAGCAGTTCACTTGGGACCACCGCTGGGACAAGGAAACCCTCTGTACCCTGAGTTCCATATTAACATCATCCCCTCATTACAGAGAAGGTAGACGAAGGCTCTGAAAAGTTGATAAGCCTCCACCGCAGTACTAGATGGAGCTGGGAGAGAACAGCTTCTCCGGATGTGTAGTCTGTTCCCCTCCTGATGAAATGAAAAGCACATAGAGGCAGACAAGAGGGGTTGTTCATGGGTCGTTCTACCTGCCTGTGCCAGATACTGTGATAGGCACAGGGAATATGGTGAGGAGAATACATGTTGGCCTATCTCAGGGAGCTAGACTGTAGAAGGCTCCCCTGTTCATAGCATATACCCAAACCAGGCTCATTGTGAATACTCAGAAATGTGTGCTGAACCAACAGACAAACAGAAGCAACATAGCAGAGCAATTAAGAGTATGGGCTAGCCAGGTGTGGGGGCTCACACCTGTAATCCCAGCACTTTGGAAGGCCGAGGTGGGTAGATCACGAGCTCAGGAGTTCGAGACCAGCCTGACCAACATGTGAAACCCCATCTCTACTAAAAAATACAAAAATTAGCTGGGCATGGTGGCACATGCCTGTAATCCCAGATCCTCAGGAGGCTGAGGCAGGAGAACTGCCTGAACCTGGGAAGCAGAGGTTGCAGTGAGCCAAGATTGTGCCACTGCACTCCAGCCTCGGTAACAGAGTGAGATTTCATCTCAAAAAAAAAAAAAAAAAAAAAGGAGTATGGGCTAGTGGGCATGGTGGCTCACACCTGTAATCCCAGCAGAGACGGGGAGGTGGAGGCAGGCAGATCACCTGAGGTCAGGAGTTTGAGACCAGCCTGGCCAACATGGTGAAACCCCATCTCTACTAAAAATATGAAAATTAGCCGGGTATGGTGGTGCATGCCGGTAATTCCAGCTACTTGGGAGGCTGAGGCAGGAGAATCACTTGAACCCGGGAGGCGGAGGTTGCAGTGAGCTGAGATTGCATCACTGTACTCCAGCCTGAATGACAGAGAGACTTCGTCTTAAAAAAAAAAAAAAAAAAAAGGCCAGGTGTGGTGGCTCAAGCCTGTAATCCCAGCACTTTGGGAGGCTGAGGCAGGTGGATCATGAGGTCAAGAGACCGAGACCATCCTGGTCAACATGGTGAAACCCTGTCTCTACTAAAAATACAAAAATTAGCTGGGCATGGTGGCACGTGCCAGTAGTCCCAGCTACTCAGGAGGCTGAGGCAGGAGAATTGCTTGAACCCAGGAGACAGAGGTTGCGGCGAGCTGAGATCACACCATTGCACTCCAGCCTGGGTAACAAGAGCGAAACTCCATCTCAAAAAAAAAAAAAAAAAAAGAGTATGGGCTAGGCAGCGCATACTCATGCCTGTAATCCCAGAACTTTGGGAGGCCAGGGCAGGAGAATTACTTAAAGCCAGGAGTTTGAGACCAGCTTGGAAAACAGTGAAACCCCCATCTCTAGAAATAATTAGCCAGAGTCCCAGCTACTTGGGAGGCTGGGGTGGGAGGATCACTTGAGCCCTGGAGGTCAAGGCTGAAGTGAGTCATGTTTTGCCACTGTACTCCAGCAGGAGTGACAGAGCAAGATCCTGTCTCAAAAAATAAAATAAAAGAGTGTGGGCTTGCCGGGTGCAATGGCTCACGCCTGTAATCCCAGCACTTTGGGAGGCCGAGGTGGGCGGATCATGAGTTCAAGAGATTGAGACCACCCTGGTCATGGTGAAACCCCGTCTCTACTAAAAATACAAAAATTAGCCAGGCGTGGTGGCACGCGCCTGTGGTCCCAGCTACTTGGGAATCTGATGCAGGATAATCACTGGAACCCGGGAGGCAGAGGTTGCAGTGAGGCGAGATCATACCACTGCAGTCTAGCCTGGGTGACAAAGTGAGAAGGAAGGGAGGGAGGGAAGCAGGCAGATGCACATGTATCCATGAGATACAAAACAATTTCAGGGGTTTCACAAAGGCTGCCTGGGAAGAGAAATGCATGAATGGAAGCCCTGAAGGCTGAGTAGGAGTTGATTAGGTGAAAAGAGATGTGAGGCTTGCAGGAGGAGGGGACAGCATGTGCAGGGGTTCCGGGGTGAGAACATGTGATATCTTGGGGCGTGGGGGGGACAGCAGCAAGGAGGAGAGTGATAGGAGATGAGCCCACGGAGATGGGCAGTGCTAGATCCTACAGGGTCTTACTTGCTGCAGTAAGTTTACTGGGGAGTGCTCTTACTTTACACCATTCTTCACTCTGAAGATCATGTACCCCTGGCCCAAGTGGTACCCGGACCGAGAGGCCCACTCACCAAGGATGTAGATTTCACCATCTGGGGGCACTGTGGGGAGAGAAATGAGAATGCCTTTAGCAATTGAGCACCCCAGCATCATTTTTACTCCCCCTTGCTCCCCCATCAAGGACAAAGATGACCTGGGGGGCCCAAAGGAGAGGATTCATACCACCCAGCCCCCTGTGGCACCTTCTTCCAGCGTAAAATCCCGCGAGACTGGCACTATCTGGTCCAGAGAGACATCGTCCCCGGTAATGGCCATCCTCCGGTGCGTATAGAGGAAGAGACTAAGGGCAGGAAGCAGAGGTGAGGATGGGGGCCCACTGGCTGTCCCTCAGCCCTGTCTTGGAGACCTTGGGGTGCTCACACTCCCCCCTTGGTCCCTAACACTGTGCTGGTGGTGCACTGGCTAGACACATGCCTCATGCCATCTCTGTCCATGGTGCCCATCAGAGACTGCAGTTTTGTGGATGAGGTCATCAAAGCAGAACTTTTCTCATCTGCAGGAGCCCCTGCTTTGTTAGTAAAACACAAACACATGTTTGATCTGATCACGGCACATTGTAGCACTGTGTGTGACAGGAACAGTGTGACTTTAGCTACCCACTTCTCTCTGAAAATTGGGGTGATGGATCAGAAAATGTCTAAGGCCCCCTTCCTCCCAGCTCCAAGACCCTGAGGGTCACTTACCAGCTCTGAGACCTTTCACAACTATTTAGTCTCTCTCTGCTTCTATGTGGTATGAGGGCATTACAAGGCATTTATCGAGCACTTTCTTTTTTTCCTTTTTATTATTTTTTAATTATTTGAAATACAGATGAGGTCTTACTATATTGCCCAGGCTGGTCTTAAACTCCTAAGCTCAAGCAATCCTCTCAGCTCAGGCTCCCAAAGTACTGGGATTCCAGGCGTGAGCCACTGCACCCAGCCTTACTGAACACTTTCTATGTGCCCGATGGTGTTTGGTTTTTTTTCCTTTTTTTATAGAGACAGGGTCTCACTGTGTCACCCAGGCTATACTGCAATCATAGTTCACTGTAATCTCAAACTCCTCAGCTCATGTGATCCTTCCACCTCAGCCTCCTGAGTAGCTGAGACCACAAGCGTGCACCATCACACCCAGCTGATTTTCTTATTTTTCATAGACATGGGGGGATGGGGTCTTGCTATGTTGCCCAAGCTGGTTTCGAACTCCTAGGCTCAAGCAGTCTTCCTGCCTCAGCATTCCAAAGTGTTGGGATTACAAGCATGAGCCACTGCACCTGTCCTAACTCACTTTACTCTTTAATCTGGACAAATTGAGGGGTACAACAACTTGCTCAAGATCATGTGGCTCTGGCTGGGCGTGGTGGCTCATGCCTGTAATCCAAGCACTTTGGAGGCCAAGGCTGGCAGATCACCTGAGGTTGGGAGTTCAAGACCAGCCTGACCAACATGGTGAAACCCCGTCTTAAAAAAAAAAAAAAAAAAAAAAAAAATCATGCGGCTCCACCGGGTGTCAGGGCTCATGCCTAAAATTCCAACACTTTGGGAGGCTGAGGTGGAAGGGCTTGAGGCCAGGAGTTCCAGGGTGCAGCTACGAGTGCACTACTGCGTGCACTCCAGCCTGGGTGATAGAAAGAGATCCTGCCCCCCAAAAAAAGGTCATGTGAGGCCAGGTGCGCTGGCTCACACCTGTAATCCTAACACTTTGGGAAGCTGAGGCAGGTGGATCACTTGAGGTCAGGAGTTCAAGACCAGCCTGGTCAATGTGGTAAAACCTGGCTCTACTAAAAATACAGAAATGAGCCAGGCATGGTAATAGGCATCTCTGTAATCCCAGCTACTTGAGAGGCTGAGGCACGAGAATTGCTTGAACCTGGGAGGCAGAGATTGCAGTGAGCCAAGATCACACCACCGCACTCTAGCCTGGGCAAAGAGCAAGACTCCGTCTCAAAACAAACCAAAAAAAAGATTATGTGGCTTGTTAGTAACAAAGTCTGGGTTTCAACCCGGGCAACTGGACCAGGAGGCTCAAGATCTGGGCCAGTAGGTTAAACTAGCTCTTTTCAAAACTTCTTCCTCAGATCTTGAGGATTATGAGTTAGTACATGTGTGAAGGGTTTAGAATATAGTGTTCAAAAAGTATTAATTGTCATTACGATACTTATTCTAGGAGACTCAGACCCGGCCCTGGAGGGACGGTTGAAGTTCAGCTGGAGGGTGCAGTCTTGAACAACCCCATGGCCCAGACAGGCAGGGACTAAGCCCCTCACTCACGCATGTTCCTGGCCACCATGCTCCAGGCAGTAGCGCACGAGTCCCAGGAGGCGGCTCTGCCGGCTGTCCCCCTCACACAACACACCTTGCACCGCCTGCGGCTCAGAGTCAAGGGAAGACAATCCGGAGGCCAGGCCTTTCCCCCACCCAGCCTGTCCCACCTTCCCTTCCTTCCCCTGCTCCCAGATTTACTATGTGGCCTTGGGCAAGTCACTCTCTAAGCCTTCCTCCTCTATGAAACAAGGATAGTAACCCCTAACTTCATAGGGGATTGGGAGGATCACTGCATATTTAAAGCATCTGGCAGAGAGTCCAGGAATCAGTAAGTACTTAGTAGATACTGATTTCCTTCTCCCCTGATGGCTCAGAGAGGGAGGAGAGGGGCAGACACCTCAACACCTTCCATTCCACTTTCCAAGACCAGGGAAGGCTCAAGGCTGCAATTAGTACAGGAAGGATATGATGACGCAGTATTCCCCTTCAGCCAGTGTCTCCTGGATGGCCACAGACTGGTCCATGCTGGCCCCTGCTGAGTGCACAGACCCTGCAGGAGGGGAGATGGGAGCCCCCTTTGGTCAGCAAGTTAGGCTTGATTTGATGGAGCTGCCTCAGAGCGGTGGGGGACAGGAGGGAGGGGCTTTTGTGGTGTGAGCAGGTATTGGGGGGGCCTGATCCTCCTCCTCCTCCTCTTTCTCCTTCCTAGAATTGGCCTTTTACAGTTTCTAGAAATAGGCCCCCACTGGGATCTAGAGTTTGCTGTACCTTTGTCTGGGAGGGCATCCAATTGTTCTTGAGTGTGGTCCATCCTACTTGTTGGAAGTGGCATATGTGGTATTAGAGAAGGGGACCTGGCCCCTTTGCTCTTAGGAAAGGGCTCTGCCTCTTGGGGGCACTTTTTGTTCTGCTCTTGCCTCTCTGGGAGGTGTCAGTGGTGTGTCCGTGTGGGTTTGGGGGAACTTTCCCTTACTCTCATTAAAGGAGGGTCCCATTCCTCTTTCCTTGAAGACCGGAAGCATCCCGTAGCTGCTTGCCCTTCACCCCCGCCCAGCAGGCCCATTGCATCAGCTGCAGGCCGAGGGCGGGGGTGTGTGGGGGTGTCCCAGCCCTCAGCTTGCCCACTCCCTCCTGCCCAGCCCTGCCCTGGATTTCCTGTTCTGCCCCCACCCACAGCTCCCTGCCATTGCCACCTACCTCCTGAACTGTCACCGCACGGCGCACGGGACACCACTGCCCCAGGGTCTGGGATAATGACTACATTTCCCTCCAGCCCCTGCGCCACACGGGGGGGTCAGTCAGCCTGCAAGTCCCAGCATGCCCGAGTCAATCGTGGGGTGGGGAACCTCTCCATTCCCGTTAACCCCTTAGGTCCTGGGGTACACTGGGCTCCTATTCCAGAAAAGTTTTCTAATGATTGTCCTCACACTCATCCCCAGCCCTCTAAGTCATGGGGCCAGAGCTTCCTGCCCAGAAGGAAAATGGCCACACTTTATCTTAGGGGAAGAAAATAATGCATTTTTATTTTCTACTTAGCTCCATTTCAGCTCTTCTCACTCCAGGGTAGAGAGCTCAGACCTCTACTGAAACTCTTCCCCTAAAATAACTACCCTCTCCTAGCTAAATGGAGAGAAAACCCGACCATGAAGAACCATTACATCCATTTTCCAGGTGGAGAAACTGAGCCTTGGAGAGGGTAAAAAACTTAAAGCAGTTTGACATTAAGTCTTGCAGCTAGCAGGTGGCAACACTGGGACTCCACTGAAAGTCTGACTGCAACTCCTGGGCCACTTATACCACCCCATTCAGCCCTCCTTTCACACAGGGCTGTTTAAGGCTACTGGGTGTGAACACACTTTGTAAAGGGTATGATATTGTTCCTGTCTGGCAATGTCCTTCCCTTGATCCACCTGGCTGTATGACCTTGGCCAAGACCTTTCTCCCCTTGGGCCTCAGTTTTCCCATCTAAGATAAGGAGGTTACCTCAGATGGACAAACAGGGCCAGTGCAGGGACTGGGCATGGTGGCTCATGCCTGTAATCCTGGCACTTTGGGAGGCTAAGGAGGGAGGATCACTTGAGGCCAGGAGTTTGAGACCCCATCTCTACAAAATTTTTTTAAAAAATTTAGCTGGATGTAGTGGTGCATGCCTGTAGTCCCAGCTACTTGGGAGGCTGAGGTGGGAGGATTACTTGAGCCCAGGAGTTCAAGACTGCAGTGACCTGTAATTGTTCACCCAGCTCAGATAAGGAATACTATCATTCTCTCTTGGCCTGTTACCCATTTAATCAAGCTGTAAGCTCCCTTTGGACAGGACGACGCCTTTTCCTCAACATACCAGCAGTTTCTGGCACACAGTTATCCACTGAGTTAGTGAATTACTTAATAAACTATTTTAATAAATACACCTTCTCTCAAGCTTTGACCCAAACTGAAGGAATGGGCCTTCAGTGCTGGGAGAGGGGTGACTGTTGTGATTTGTGACCAGGGTCCCCTCCTCTTTCCTCAAGTGAAGTGGTAGTCCTAATGACCAGTTCAACTTTGCATATGTAAGCCCCTTCCAGAAACAGGCATTGCCTTCTTCTCAATCCATTCCTTTTCCTGGAAACATCCACAGTACAAATGGAGCTCAAGTTTATTTGAATTCAGTTTCAAAGTCATGTGGAGGATGAGGGGAAAGGGGATTGACTCAGACCCTTAGGATCAAGGGGCAGGCCATTGCAGAGAAGCAGAGGAACCCCAATTCCAGCCCTGCTTTTAGTGTCAAAGCCTGGGGGTGGGGGTCTGGGGAAAGTAGATGGGGCTGGGTGTTTTTTATGATGAAGAAACTGTCCCTGTAGGATTTTGGGGTCCTCCCACTGGGTGGGGGTCAGGCAGGAGGTTTTCTATTTTTCCAGACAAACCCTATCTCTCCTTGAGATTAGGGCTAAGGCCCTGCCCCCGTAGAGGGTTCTGTGGTCAGGTCTAGGCCCTAGAAGGGGAGAAGTGAGGAGCCTTAAGCCCAGAGCTATGGACTTGATAAAGCCCTTTTCTAAAGATGCAACTACAGGAATCAGAGCTGGAGGTGAGCCTGAAGGCTTGTAGGACCTACAGGGTCTTCTTGGTGGCTACTCCTGAACTCTGCTGGGCCCAGCTAGGGGAGCAGGAACAGAAGCAGGGCAGAGTGGAGGAGCAGCAGTGTAGCCACAGCCAGGGCCCAGTGCAGGGGGCTTCTGGTGGCCCCAGGGGATGCCTGGTTGAAGTGAAGGTTCCCACCCAGCTGGAGGCAGCTGCCCGAGTTTGAAGCTCGACAGCACTCCTGATAGCAGGGCAGAGCCACAGCCTCATGACATTGGGAGGTCCCTGCTTCAAAGGCCTGGCTGCAGCCTGCAGTGTAAACTGAGCTGGAGCGTTTCAGCTGCAAGAGGTGGGACCATTCATCTTCCCTTTGTCCCCCTTTTCCCCACCCAAAGGCAGAAAGTGTTAAGTGGGTCATAGGCTGAGCTCAACCTCCTTGGACCCTTAACTCCCTGCCCACAAGATCAGTGAGTCCCTAGTGAACATACGGGGTGGCCAGAAACAAAGGGGCACATCATGGAGGTATGGAAAGTTCCAGTGGCTACCCTTGATGTTGGCATCATGTAGAGCTGAGGGTATCAAGCTTGCTTGACCCAGGCAGCCTGGCTCCCAGCTGGTCTAGCTCCAGCCAGATCCTACTGCTGAGCTAACCATTCCAGGTAGACGGAGAAAGCCATGCAGCTCTGAGGGAGGACAGCTCCCTAATCCTTGGAGCTCACCTCAGGGCTCCATGGCCACAGCTTTCTGCCCTTTGAAACAGTCACCACCATGGCAGGAGAAAGTGGCACAGATTTTCTCCTGGAATAGAAAGCAGGAGGAGGTTTGGGAGCTTTGTGCAGACTAAACAGGTGGTAAACGTGGGACAGAGGCAAGGCCGGAGCCCTATTGTGCCGGTGTCACTGGCCCCATCCACCACATGCTGTCTGTTCCTGCCTCCCAGAGCAGGCAGGTGAGAATGAGACACTCACATTTCCCTGGAGGGCTGGCAAGGTGGTGGTCACCAGCGGTGGAGTGGAATGCAGCTTGACCTCTGGGATTGTCAGGTAGGTTAGGCCTAGGATCAGAGCAGGACTGCCTGGGGAAGTGCTGTGACACCTCTGCAAAGCCCTGGCCAACTGCCTTGCCCCCAGGGAGAGCATCATGTGTGTGGGCAGCCCACAACCTGACAGCCTCCCCATGCTGCCACCTTGGATGAGTGCAGGTGCTTGCCCCAGGCCTCTTTGGAGCTTGTTGGATAGGGGAGTGCTGGATGGGCTGGACTGGGGAGAGGTGGGGATGTTAGGAGTGGGGAATCTGGGAGGGGGTGGGGCACCAGAGGTAGAAAGCTCAGACTTGGGGAGCTGATGAGGAGGGCAGGCATTATAGGTAGGGTTCAGTCAGGCAAGGCCTGGAGGTTAGCATATTCATAGAGGTTGGGGGGCTGGTGAAAATTGAGCTGAGATTTGAGGGCCTCTCAAAGGGCTGGGTTCAGAGTTAGGGATTAGTGGGCAGAAGGGCTCTGAGCTTGTGGATGAGTAGGAATGGGAGTTAGAGGTGGGGGTAATGGGGCTCAGAGCTGCAGATTGGTGGGGCAGGGCTGAGCAATAAGGGTGGGGCTGTCTCACTCGAGGCCAACTCATTGAGCATAAGGCAGAGTGGCCCTCCACTGCAGCACTGCAGCCTGCAGGGGCCTGGGCTGGGGGCTGAGCTGTTGGACAGCCGGCAAGGACTAGGACCAGATTCATTTCCCCCTTCACAGCTGAAGCTGCACTGGGCCACATAGTGGGAAGTGTTGAGTTGAATCAGCTGGGTAGAGAGAATGCAAGCATGTCCAGGAGGATGGGGAGACAGCCAGGCCTGGTCAGTATCTCCATGTTCCCAGCATCCCAGATACTGACTCCCCTCCCTCCCGCTTCAGGATCCGTTCCCACACTACTGTACCTGAATGTCAGTCCCCCTTCCACTCCCTCCACTCCCTTTCACCTCTAAGAAGTGCCCTGTCTGGGGTCCATATCAGCCCCAGCCCCACACGTCGCAGTGGTGCTGCCCAGGCTCGCACTCTGTTGTCTGGTTGGAGAACTTTGCCTCCTGGTAGCACATCTCTCCGAGACAGTGGAAGTTGTGGTATATCTGCAGATAGGTTTGAGCACAGTGGTCCCACGCCCAGGGCTGAAGGCATTAGGAAGGCTTTCCCCAGCCAGGCGCAGTGGCAATCCCAGCACTTTGGGAGGCCGAGGTGGGAGGATCACGAGATCAAGAGATCGAGACCATCCTGGTCAACGTAGTGAAACGCTGTCTCTACTAAAAATACAAAAATTAGCTGGCACGCACCTGTAGTCCCAGCTACTTGGGAGGCTGAGGCAGGAGAATTGCTTGAACCTGGGAGGCAGGGGTTGCAGTGAGCCAAGATCATGCCACTGCACTCCAGCCTGATGCCTGAGCAAGGCTCTGTCTCCAAAAAAAAAAAAAAAAAAAAAAAAAAAAGGAAGGCTGTCCCGTCCTTCACATGCTGCTTACCTGGACAGAAGGAGGGGTCAGCTGACTGCTTGTCAGGTTTTGGGCTACCAGTAAGACCAGCAGGAGGACTGACAGGAGGAAAAGGAAAGAGGGAGCCACTGCAGGGGGTAACCAGCTCAAAGGTCATAGGTCAAAGAAAGGCCATGCAGCAGTTAAGTGGAAGAGATCATGAACTTAGGGAAAAGTAGAGGCAGTCCCATGGTCCAGCAATAGTCATGGTCTAGGAAAGGCCAGAGTCCCTGGGCTGAGAACAGCTACCTCTGAGCAAAGCAGCTCTGTGGCTACCAATTGGCCACATACATCTTCAACTGAGGTGCTACAGGAGCCACAGAGAGGAAAGGACCAGTTCTGGGCAGCCCAGGAAATCTACAAACAAAATTTCCATTATTGTGCTATGCAAATGAAAAAACTGAAGCTGAGGAACTGGGGTGGGGGTGGGTCAACCTTTAGGGAATATGAGGTTTTGGGGCTCAGCTTTCACTTCCTGCAAGTCATACTGTCAGAGTGACATTGAGGCAGTCACAGAGGGGCCTGCATGCTAGCAACAGCCTCTCTGAGAGTACATGTGGTCATTGGCATGGCAACAGCAGGATCCCAGCCTGAGGGGGGCAGAACTGGAGCAGGTACTGTGACAGAAAATAGATATCCGGTGCCTCTGATCTGGCCTCATTTGCTGCCAACATCAAAAGGTGCCCGGGGTGGGAAGGTGGGGGTGATGGGCTTCCTCAGAATCCAGGGCAGGGAAACCCTGGGCCACAGAGAGTCAGAAGTCCAGGCTCACTTTGTCCAAGTGTTCTTCGGGATTCAGACCCCATCCTGTCCCTAAATGAGTACTGAGCCAAAGACAGGAGGTAGCTCTCAGACACTGGGTTCCTGAATCCCAGGCTCTGCCTCCTGCAGCACTAAGGGATCAGACCTGGAATGGTCTGCTAAGCCTGAGTTTAGGGTTTTCCATGAAAGATAGAAAACTGCTGGAGGTGAGAGTGGGGCTTATTCCCATCTTGCTCAGCCCTGGAAGCTTGAGCACAACCCTACCCTTCCCAACGCTAATGGAGCATCTGCTTCCCTGCCCTCATTAATATAATCCTCCATCAGCACTCAGACATCTCTCTCAAGTGACAGCAGCCCGGGTGATGTGATACACAGGAGAATGTGCAGCAAGAACATTCTCCTGGGCCCTTCTGACATGTCAGCCTCTCTGTTGCCCATCGTCCCCGCCACCAACAAACACTACGCTCAAGAAACAATTTTCTTGCTGGGCATGGTGGCTCACACCTATAATTACAGTGACTAAGGAGGCTGAGGCAGGAGAACTGCTTCAGGCCAGAAGTTCAAGACAAGCCTGGGCAAGATAGTGAGACCCCCATCTTTCCTAACAATCAGCTGGGCATGGAGGTGTGCACCTGTAGTACTAGCTACTTGGGAAGCTGAGGTGGGGAGGTCACTTGAGCCCGAGAGTTGGGAGGCTGCAGTAAGCTATGATCATATCACTGCACTCTAGCCTAGGGAACAGTGAGACCTTGTCTTAAAAAAAAAAAGTTTTGGGGCCCAGCATGATGGCTCACGCCTATAATCCCAGCACTTTGGGAGGCCAAGGTGGGCAGATCACAAGGTAGGAGTTTGAAAACAGCCTAAGATGGTGAAACTCCATCTCTACTAAAAATACAAAAAAATTAGCCAGCTGTGGTAGCACATGCCTGTAACCCCAGCTACTCAGGAGGCTGAGGCAGGAGAATTGCTTGAACTAGGAGGCAGAGGTTGTAGTGAGCCGAGGTCACACCACTGCACTCCAGCCTAGGTGTCAGAGTGAGACTCAGTCTCAAAAACAAACAAACAAGTTTTTAGCCACTCAGTACATCTCCAAGGGGATCTCAGTTTCCAAACACCAAAGTTTCAAAGGGCTCAAAGGTTCTACCCAGGTCCCTGAAGCTTTGTGAAAAGAAGAGCCCAGGCCTCCCACAAAAGCCCCTTTCCTTCTCCTTACTTTGCATAGATGAGGCTGAAGGGACAGCTCAGGAATATGACAGATCAGGCAGGTAGACAGACATTGAGCTGAGTCAGAAGGCTGGGCAAAGCTAGATGGGTACCTCCTAGGCTATATCAATCCAGGCTTCTTGTCCATCTGCTTTAGTCTGTGTGCCCCTCCATGGCTAAAGCATATTCTCAATATTCTCAGTGCCCACCCTATCCCAGCTGTAGACCTACCTGCGCACCTGAAGGTGCAGAGAGCTGTGAGAATACATGCACAAGACAGGGAGGTCACAGTTGCAGACCCTGGAAACTGGAAGCTGTCCTTTCTCCTCCCCTCCAATCATATCAGCTCTGGGAGTTGCCTCTCACATTGCTGCCACCGGGGACACACAGGGACCACAGGCAAAAGAAGAAAGCACAGCTGCTGCCCACACTGTAGTTGGAGGGACAAAATAAAGCCAGTTGACAGCTTGGGCAGATCAAAAGACCTCCATCCCAACATCCCACTGGGAGATGCCTTATTTGTCTGGATGAAAAACCTGGCAAGTGGAGAGTGCTCTCAGAAGAGATCAGAGGGAGAGGAGACCAGTGTCCTCCCACAGCAGACCTGCAATGGGAGGACTCTTCTGGATGAAGGTGGAGAGGGTCACAGGCTCATTCCCACCCTGAGAACCCAAGCTGAGGCTAACAATAGGACCTGAAGGATGAGGGGAAAGGTTGCTATCATCTCAAGGATTTTTTTTTTTTAATGCATAGAGAAAGAAGTATCTCAGAACTTGACTTCCCATACACATTGGTTACCTTTAGGGTGCTCCCTTCACAGAGCCTTCCAGTACAAGTTGACCCCAGGGAGGGGAATGGAAAGAAAATGGAGAAGAAAGGGATACCTGGCTGAGGTCAGAGACAGATGTACACTTTCTCTGAGAAGCAGGCACAGACTCCTCCTGTGCTGGTTCATCCCAGGTACAGCCTTTGGGTTTAGCAGCACCGATCTGGGGATCAATCGTAGGAATAACTCCCTCAACACTTCCTGCAGCTTTCCTCCTTGAAGAGCTAATGGAATTAACTGTTCTCAGCAATAAGCTCACTGGCAGAAGTTCCGATTCCAGTTGGGTGTAGTGGCTCACACCTATAATCCCAGCACTTTGGGAGGCTGAGGCAGATGGATGATGAGGTCAGGAGTTCAAGACCAGCCTGGCCAACATGGTGAAACCCTCGTCTCTACCAATACAAAAAACTTAGCTGGCCTTAGTGGCACACATCTGTAATCCCAGCTACTTGGGAAGCTGAGGCAGGAGAATCACTGAACCTGGGAGGCAGAGGTTGCAGTGAGCTGAGATCAGGCCACTGCACTCCAGCCTGGGCAGGAGAGCAAGACTCCATCTCCGGGTAGGAGGGATGGATGTTTCCAACTCCGTGTCTAAGATAGATTCTTGGCTGGGCACAGTGGCTCATGCCAGAAATCTTGGCCCTTTGGGAGGCCAAGGCAGGTGTTCGATTGAAATTCTCTTCTTCCTTTGGCCAACCCTATGGAGTCCAAACCTGAAGGAATCGCCTCGGAGAACCAATTCTGACGTGGTTTGCCTGTGTCCCTTGCAGCTGGATGGAGCTGGCCATATGGCTTTTCCTGCAGTCCCAGAGGCTTCTGCCTCCACTTTTTCAAGGTTGGATCTAGCTGTGCCTGGCATATGGAAAAAACCCTGAATCAATGAAGGTAACAAATAAACTTCTGCAGTGACAATTAAGCCCCAGGTTCCCTCCTAGGCTCTTCTGGCAGAGTTCACATGATGACTTCAGTTACTGGGCAAGGGGATGGCAGGACTCCTCAGAACCTGGTCCTACCTCCTCTCCACACTGTAGAGGGAGAGCCCATTAACCCTGGAGTCCCAGGTACCCACTCAAGACAGGGCTTTGAGGACTCCCAAAAGCTGGAAAGCAACAGGTGCGTTGCTTCGTAGCCCAACGCAGCCACTGTTCCGGCGAGCAGTCTGAAGGGCCATCTTCTCTGCACATTTCCCATTCCAAGGTTTTAACTCTCTTCTCAAATGGCAATGTCTCCTTGCACCTTGGGCCAGGGTCCACTAATCAGTGTTTCTAGTTGGCTCAATTAGGTTTAATTATCCACTCACTCTGCTTCTAGCTCAGGCCCTGGAGAGGTTGTCCAACTGGAGTCTTGAAGGAGTGAAGGCACAGGGGATATGAGTTGCACAGGGATGGGTCGAAACAGGAAGGAAAATACCAACCTAAAGTGCCACTGAGGTGGGAGTGGTGAAACTTTACTGCCATGGAAATGACTAGGGCAAAAGATTAGTGTGAGGCAGCAGGCTAGTTCAAGTTGGGATTTTGAGATAGGGTTTGCTCTGTCAACTAGGTTGGAGTGTAGTAGCATGATATTAGCTCACTGCAACCTCCGCCTCCCAGGTTCAAGTGATCCTCCCGCCTTAGCCTCCTGAGTAGGTGGGACTACGTGTGCATGCCACCATCCCCGGCTAATTTTTAAAATTTTTAGTAGAGACAGGGTTTTGCCATGTTGGCCAGGCTGGTCTTGAATTCCTGACCTCAAGTAATCTGCCAGCCTTGGCCACCCAAAGTGGCGCCTGGCCTGAGTTAGGATTTACTTTATTTTTCATCTGAGAGAGTTTTGCTCATGTCACTTAGGTTGGAGTGCAATGACATCATCTTCAGTCACTGCAACCTGTGCCTCCTGGATTCAAGTGATTCTCCAGCCTCAGCGTCCCAAGTAGCTGGGATTGCAGGCATCCGCCAGCACACCCAGCTAATTTTTGTATTTTTAGTGGAGATGGGGTCTCACACTGTTGGCCAGGCTGGTCTCAAACTCCTGACCTCAGGTGATCCACCCGCCTTGGCCTCCCAAAGTGCTGGGATTACAGGTGTGAGCCATCGTGCCCGGCCATGAGTTGGGATTTTTAAAAGTAGATACGTTATCAGCCAGCCTGCCTCTGCATGGGGCAAGTTCAGCATTGGTCCCTGGCGGGTTTTTAGAAAAATAAGATATAAATCTATAATATAAGTATCATTTTTTAAAAAAATAGATTTATTAAAAAACAATTGAAAGCCTGAGTGTTGAGAGGCAAATGGGGCCTCTGGGGGATCCTGTCCTGCAGCAGGCCTACTTTCAGAGGACTGTGCTTTTAAGGTAGATCAGGGCCTTCCCGGCTGCCCTAGTACTTTCCATTTCAAACAACAGATTTGGATCCTGGGAGAGCTGCTCAACTCTACTCAACTCTACCATGGCTACCTGGGCTTGGAGAGCATGTGAATATTCACTACTTTTATAGTCTGGGGATCCTGTAGAAGAAACAGGTAGACAGACCCACCAAAGTCTCTCATTCTGACCTAGCAAGCAGGTGGTGAAGTCACTGCTGGTCCTAGTTGCATTGCATATTGGGCTGCAGGCCCATTCCAAACAGCCAGCTAATTTTTTTTTTTTTTTTTTGAGATGGGGCCTCACAATATCACCCAGGCTCGTCTCAAACTCCTAGGCTCAAAGGATACTCTAACCTCAGCCTCCTGAGTAGCTGGGACTACAGTGTGTGCCACCATGCCTACCTTTTTTTTTTTTAAATGAGACAGGGTCTCACTATGTTACCTAGGCTGATCTCAAGCAACCCTCCTGCCTCAGCCTCCCAAGTAATTAGGACTACAGGCACAAGCCACCACACCCAGCTCCAATTCCTTTCTTTATGCAAATACAAAAGGCAAACCTTGGTGCCACACTTAGCTTATAAGTAGAAGCCCTGGCTCGCCCTCCTAGTCTTTCCCTAGTATTTCCATCAGTGGCTAACTAAGCTGATAGCAGACCTCATCCTGGGATAATACACATTCAGAAAGTAGCAACAAAGGAGGATGGGAAAAGAGGTCAGGTAAGATTTACCTAACATGATGTGTAGCCTAACAGGTGCCCATTAAATCTCAGCTACTACTAAAGTTGGTAAGAAAGAGGTATGGAGGCATTAAGACCTGAAGCACTGAGTTGGTCCATAACCCTGGGCTTCAGAACAAGGCCTGGTTTTATTTTCTGGCAGAATCTTTTTTAATATAAAACAGATAAAACACATCCCAACCCTGCAATCTGCCAGCATGCCTTGTTTCTACAAGATGCATGCTACACCATGAGACTACATAGCAAAGGGTCTTTAAGAGGATTTGGTTGGGAGAAATAGAAAAAGCAGATCTTAGGGAAGCCTGGACTGGCCAAAAAGCTGAGCTACATCCCTGAACACTAGAGCAGTCCTTGTCTTTTCAGATCCTCATATGTCTTCTTATTCACAACATTCCCACTCGAGTCTTCATATTCTTCCTGAAAAGGAAGGGGTACATTTTGTTAGATACATCTCCTAAAAGAAATGTTTGGAACCAATCTCTAGGTACCTGAGCTCATCCTGACCTGCTTCCATGGCATACTCTGGTACACTAAGATTGGAATTCATCTAAGACAGCCTTTCTAAACTGGGGTTCCACAAGAGAATTAAGCCCCACTGCCCAAAAGCAGCCACTGTGTGCAATGAATTAACTTCTCTCCTAGACATCTAGAATGGTATCAGTCGTGACCCATCTTTAGGGTATCTGAGAAAATAGTTCATTTAGCTTTCTTTTTGTGTTTAAGATAAGGAACCCTGGTTAAGAAAGGCTGACCTACAACAGCAGTTTGGCAAATGGTTCCCAAGAATCCCAGGTTTCTGCCCAAAGACCACTGCAGGGGGTAAAAGAGAGACCAAAAAGTCTGAGCTTCTCCATGTCCAGAGCAATTCTGCTTGATTCTATTCTATCCTATCCTATTCTATTCTACTTATTTTTGAGACAAAGTCTTGCTCTGCTCTGTCAGCCAGGCTGGAGTACAGTGGGACAATCTCGACATTTATTAATTTTTGAGACAAAGTCTTGGTCTGCTTTGTCACCCAGACTGGAGTGCAGTGGCATGATCTCGGCTCACTGCAACCTCCACCTCCCAGGTTGTAGAGACATGGTTTCACCATGTTGCTCAGGCTGTTCTCCAACTCTTGGGCTCAAGCGATCTGCCTGTATAGTGCTCCCAAAGTGATATGATTACAGGCATGAGCTGCTGCACCTGGCCCATTTCAAAATTTGAATGGAAGAATAACTCCTCCTGCCTCAGTCTCCCAATTAGCTGGGACTATAAGCATGCATTGCCACATGTGGCTAATTGTTTCTTTTTTTTGAGACAGAGTCTTTTTGCTCTGTCACCCAGGCTGGAGTGCAGCAGCACAATCTTGGCTCATGCAACCTTCACCTCCCGGGTTTAAGCAATACTCATGCTTAGGCCTCCCAAGTAGCTGGAACTACAGGCACGTGCCACATCTGCTTATTTTTGTATTTTTAGTAGAGACAGAGTTTCTCCATGTTGGCCAAGCTGGTCTTGAACTCCTGGCCTCAAATGATTTGCCCGCCTCAGCCTCCCAAAGTGCTGGGATTACAACTGTAAGCCACCGCACTTGGCCTAATCTTTTAACTTTTTTTTTGTAGATACAAAATTTCACTATGTTGCTCAGGCTAGTTTTAAACTCCTGGCCTCAAGTGATCCTCCTGCTCTGGCCTCCTCAAGTGCTAGGATTACTACTGTGAACAACATGCCAGCCTACAACCTGTCTTCAGACATGGATTTAAAGTCTGACAGTACTGGCCTGGTGTGATAGCTCATGCCTATAATAAGTGGGAGGCTGAGGTGGGCGGATCACTTGAGCTCAGGAGTTTGAGACCAGCCTAAGCAACATGGCGAAACCCAGGTCTCTGCAAAAAACATAAAAACTAGCTGAGTGCGGTGGCATACACCTGTAGTCCCAGCTACTTGGGAGGCTGTGGTGGGAGGATGGCTTGAGCCCAGGAGGCAGAGGTTATAGTGAGCCGAGATCATGCTACTGCACTCCAGCCTAGGTGACAGAGCCAGATCCTGTCTCAAAAAAAGTAAATAGGCCGGGCACGGTGGCTCAAGCCTGTAATCCCAGCACTTTGGGAGGCCGAGGCAGGTGGATCACGAGGTCAAGAGATCAAGACCATCCTGGTCAACATGGTGAAACCCCGTCTCTACTAAAAATACAAAAAATTAGCTGGGCACAGTGGCACATGCCAGTAGTCCCAGCTACTCAGGAGGCTGAGGCAGGAGAATTGCTTGAACCCAGGAGGCGGAGGTTGCGGTGAGCCGAGATCGCGCCATTGCACTCCAGCCTGGGTAACAAGAGCGAAACTCCATCTCAAAAAAAAAAAAAAAAAAAGTAAATAAAGTCTGACAGTGCTTCCTTTGGTAGCACATATACTAAAATTAGAATGATACAGAGATGAGTAGCATGGCCCTTGTGCAAGGATGACATGGAAATCTATGAAGCATTCCATATTTTAAAATAATAATTAAGTCTGACAAATATAACAAATAAATTAGGCTTACATGTCAAGAGTCAATTTAAGGCTGGGTGTGGTGGCTCACGCCTGTAATTCCAGCACTCTGGAAGGCCGAGGTGAATGGATCACCTGATGTGAGGAGTTCAAGACCAGTCTGGCCAACATGTCGAAACACTGTCTCTACTAAAAATACAAAGATTAGCTGAGTGTGGTGGCAGGCGCCCAGCTACTCGGGAGGCAGAGGCAGGAGAATTGCTGGAACCTGGGAGGTGGAAGTTGTAGTGAGCCAACACTGCGCCACTACACTCCAGCCTAGGTGACTGAGAGACTCCATGTCAAAAAAAAAAGGAAAAGTCAATTTACAGTTATTGTCACATTATATACTCACTGCTGCAGTACACCATTCTATTCTATTCTAGTATTTGCAGAGAATTTGCCTGGATCATTTTGCACCTCCCTTCTACATGGTGAGGGAGATCTCTATCACTTGACACTATCCCCAACACCATCCATATTAGTACCCACCTCAGTGTCAGGCTGCCATCGTTCTGAAGCCTTCTGCAATTTCAGTTTGGCCCACACTGCAGGATGAGAAATGAACAGCAATCAGGATGGACTGAACATCTGTCAGGTATCCACTGTTATAATCCTCCTTCCCTGCCATTAGGATGCTCCCTGCAAGACACTGCCTTTGAGATTCTTGCCTACCCCAAACCAGAACTTGGGTTCTGGACCACCTACAGACAAAGCCCCTTCCACTGCAAAATTTGTCGTGATCTTGCTTTGCTGTAAAAGTTGGATCAAATACAACCAAAGACCTCCAAGAACAGAACTGATACTCTTGAAGGGGATTAATGTGGAACAACCTATGAGAATGGGAGAAAGTGACCTTACTTTCTTAATATTTAATATTTATATTCATATATTTCATAATATAAAAATTCTAACGGTTTAATAGCAATCTCTATGAAGGAGAAAAGGTAAAGACATCTGAAAAAACCATCATAGATTCAGAGGGAATGATCAGACATGTATACTTAAGAAAAAAAAAATATAAAACCAGGTAAAGAACAACTTGAATCTTAAATTATGATTCTAAGAAGGTGAACTCTTAGAACAAATGGCTACATGGAATACATAAGACAGGTCCACTGCCAGAGAGGGAAGATAATAAAATATCAATAGATGATGAGAAAACAGAACTTGATTCCTGTGCTTTCACCTTTTCCATCAAGTAGAATAATTTAAACTTGACAAAACTAGAAGAGAGATAGTTGATGCCTAAGATGGGTGAATAGTGAATGAAACAATATATGATAAAATGCTTAGCTCTGCACCTGACACATAGGTGTGCTCAACTAATCATCTTTTCCTTCCTTGCTAATTGCTTTAAATTAATGAAGTCTTCAAGCCCAGATCATATGCACATCAGGAAAGAATGGAGACATTATCATGTGCTTACTATGTGACAGGGCAGGACTCTGTCATCTTCTTTATCAAAGCCCTTCAAGAATCTAACCAAGAATTCAGCCTGGTGACAGAGTAAGACTCTGTCTCAAAAAAAGGAAAAAAAATTCCTAAGTGCAACCTATCACCTAAATGGGGATTTCTGGTAGCAATTTCAGAGGGCTCTTTCTTAGCTTTTGGAGAATTAAAAAAAAAAAAAAAAAAAAATCAGGCCAGGCGAGGTGGCTCACACCAGTAATCCCAGCACTTTCGGAGGCCGAGGTGGGAGGATCACAAGGTCAAGAGATGGAGACCATCCTGGCCAACACAGTAAAACCCCATCTCTACTAAAAAATACAAAAATTAGCTGAGTGTGGTAGCACATGCCTGTAGTCCCACCTACTTGGGAGGCTGAGACAGGAGAATCGTTTGAACCTGGGAGGCAGAGATTGCAGTGAGCAGAGATAATGCCACTGCACTCTAGCCTGACAACAGAGCCAGACTTCGTCTCAAAAAAAAAAATCATAAATCTAAACCAATGGAATAATTAACATAATAAATTTATAAGTAAAATCCTCCATGTAAGTGTAAAAAAAAAAAATCACTTCGGCCGGGCATGGTGGCTCACCCCTGTAATCCTAGCACTTTGGGAAAGTCAAGGCAGGTGGAATGCCTGAGCTCAGAAGTTCGAGACCAGCCTGGGCAACACAGTAAAACCCATCTCTACTAAAATACAAAAAAATTAGCCAGGCAAAGTCACAGTCACTAGGGAGACTGAGACAGGAGAATTGCTTGAACCCAGGAGGTGGATATTGGAGTGTGCAGAGATCACGCTATTGCATTCCAGCCTAGGCGACAGAGTGAGTCCCAGTCTCAGGAAAAAAAAAAAGAGAGAGAGAAGACAGGGGCTACGTGTGGGTGCAGTAGAAATTGAGGTAGAAATAAAACTACAAATGCTATGTGGTGAACCTAAAAAGATCAAGGGAAGCCATGATGGGTAGAAATAATACAATTGGCCGGGCACGGTGGCTCAAACCTGTAATCTCAGCACTTTGGGAGGCCGAGGCGGGTGGATCACAAGGTCAAGTGATCGAGACCATCCAGGTCAACATGGTGAAACCCCGTCTCTACTAAAAATACAAAAAGTTAGCTGGGCATGGTGGCGCGTGCCTGTAATCCCAGCTACTCAGGAGGCTGAGGCAGGAGAATTGCCTGAACCCAGGGGGTGGAGGTTGCGGTGAGCTGAGATCGTGCCACTGCACTCCAGCCCGGGTAACAAGAGCGAAACTCCGTCTCAAAAAAAAAAGAAAAAAAAAAGAAAGAAATAATGCAATTAAAGCAGTAGCAATAACAACATACATAGGGAGAAACTGATTAACCTAGACAGCTGAATAAGGAGATAAATTCTGAAAGTAATACAACTGAAGAATCATGAACCTGCTAATAATAATCTAAAAATAAATAAATAAATAATACAACTCTATATGGCTAAGAGAAAACAATTTCTTTTAGAAAGTCTCTTAATGACCAACCCTTTACAAATCTACTAGATGATAGTGATTTCAAAGAAGTCAGTATGGCGTTGTACAAAAAGAAAAGACTGTTTTTTTTGTTTTTGTTTTTTTTTTGAGACGGAGTTTCGCGCTTGTTACCCAGGCTGGAGTGCAATGGCACGATCTCGGCTCACGGCAACCTCCGCCTCCTGGGTCCAGGCAATTCTCCTGCCTCAGCCTCCTGAGTAGCTGGGATTACAGGCACGCGCCACCATGCCCAGCTAATTTTTTGTATATTTTTTTAGTAGAGACAGGGTTTCACCATGTTGACCAGGATGGTCTCGATCTCTTGACCTTGTGATCCACCCGCCTCGGCCTCCCAAAGTGCTGGGATTACAGGCTTGAGCCACCGCACCCGGCCAAGGAAAGACTGTTTTAAGACACACATGAGTTTGATCCCTGGCTTTTCCCTCTTTCAAGTTATATGACCTTGGAAAAAGTTACCTAACTTCTCATTTACCTGAGAAATACAGCTGGCACTTGATAAATTAGACTAGTAATATTAAAATGAAAAGATAAAGGTGACTTTGGATCTTATTCCTCAGACTCTGCAGAAGAGCTCAGAAGCGAAAATGATGCTGATGACAGCTAACACTTAGTCACTGACTGCATACTATGTTATGTCAGCCTAAGTTATAAATGCTCTGCCTATATCATCTCATTTAAACTTCAAGACAATTCTGTGAGTTAGGTGTATTATTACCATCTACATCTTAGATATGGAAACGGAGGCACTAGGGGAAGTAACCTGTGCAGGGTCCCACTTAGTAAGTGGCAGAGTCACTGACTTGAACCCCAACAGGTTGATTCTCCAGAGTCTGCATTCTTAATCACATGAAACTGTATTAGAAATAAGGTTTTGACCCAACTTTACCCTAGAAGCAGAACATATCAAACCATAAAGAACCTGACAGAATCTATTAACCAAGTCCTGTCCTAAGTGTAAAGCTCATGACAAGAGATGATGGGAATTTAAAAGCATCTTGTTTTTATAAACAAGATGGTAAGAATAGTGATAGAGAGGTTAAACTCGAGTAAATCATGATAATAAGAAAGTATATATGTACAGTACTTTACACCATAACGATATAATCACTTTTTGTACATAATTCAAACAAATAATATATGCTGATAATAGACAATAATAGATAATAAGAATCAGTAGAAATAAACTACTTGCTAAAACATTAAAATGTTATGCTAAAATGTTAGAAACATAGCTGTCTATACTGAATCAAGGACTAGACATAAATACATACATACATAATAAAACCTGTCTAAATCAAGTTTCAAGTCTACTATATAATCTCTACAGAGGAGAAGTATAAACAAATCTAACAAAACCAGCAAAGGAGATAAATACAAATAGATCAATTAATACACTGAGTATAAATGGCTTAATTCACCTATTTAACAATGAATACTGATGACTGGGTTAGAAAAATACTCAACCTTATTCAGCCTTATATTTGGAAAAAAAGCAAAAATCTAACATTTGCTGCCAAAACTTTTGAGGATTAAGGAAATGATCTATCACAAGGTAACAAACAATGCACAGATAAAGAAAATTCAAAAAGAAAATGGGATTGATTAATAAGGTTACAATAGAGCTTTATAGCTTAATGCAAAAAACACATATAAAACTGATGGAAATGCAAGAGATAAAATTTAATTATAACATGTCCCTATCAGAATTAAAAATAGATAAAAATATGAAACAGACTGAGCATGGTGGCTCATGCATGTTATCCCAGCAGTGTGGGAGGCCAAGGCAGGTGGATCACAAGGTCAGGAGTTTGAGACCAGCCTGAGCAACATGACGAAATACCAACTCTACTAAAAATATAAAAATTAGGCCGGGCGCGCTTTATAAGACTCACGCTTATAATCCCAGCACTTTGGGAGGCCGAGGCGGGTGGATCATGAGGTCAGAAGTTCAAGACCAGCCCGGCCAAGATAGTTAAACCCGTCTCTGCTAAAAATACAAAAATTAGCTGGGCACAGTGGCAGGTGCCTGTAATCCCAGCTACTGAGGCAGGAGAACTGCTTTAACCTGGGCAGCAGAGGTTGCAGTGAGCCGAGACTGCGCCACTGCACTTCAGCCTGGGCAATAGAGTGAGAATCCATTTAAAAAAATTCATGGCCAGGCCTGTAATCCCAGCACTTTGGGAGGCTGAGGCAGGTAGATCACAAGGTCAAGAGATCGAGACCATCGTGGCCAACATGGTGAAACCCCGTCTCTACTAAAAATATAAAAAATAGCCGGGCATGGTGGCACGTGCCTGTGGTCCCAGCTACTATGGAGACTGAGGCGGAAGAATCGCTTGAACCCAGGAGGCGAAGGTTGCAGTGAGCCGAGATTGCACCACTACACTCCAGCCTGGCGATAGAGCAAGACTCTGTCTCAAAATTTAAAAAAAAAAAAAAAAAAAAAAATTGGAACAGAAAAATATAACAATTTTTAAAATAAATAAAATTAAAAAAGAAATGAGCTGGGCAGGGTGGCAGGCACCTCTAATCCCAGCTACTCGGGAGGCTGAGGAAGGAGAATCACTTGAACCCTGAAGGTGGAGGTTGCAGTGAGCTGAGATCGTGCCACTGCACTCCATCCTGGGTGGTAAGACAAGCAAGACTCCGTCTCAAATATAAAATAAAATAAAAATAAAACAAAAAGGTTGGGTGCAGTGGTTCATGCCTATAATCCCAGCATTTTGTGTGGGAGGATCACTTCAGCCCAGGAGTTTGAGACCAGCCTGGGCAACATAAGGAAACCCCATCTAAACAAACAAAAAAAAAGTAGCTGGGCACAGTGGCACACACTTGTAGTCCAAGCTACTTGGGAAGTTGAGGTGGGGGGATTGCTTGAATGCAAAAGGTCAAGGCTGCAGTGAGTTGTGATCACACCACTGCACTCCAACCTGGGGAGATCCAGTCACAAAAAAAAAAAAAGAGAAGGAAAATAAACTCAGAATTAAAGCACTTGGTTTCCTACCTTGTTATAAGAAGTCAAGAAATTATACAAGTTATTAACTAAAGAATCTCAGCAGTTGGGCCCAGTGGCTCATGCCTGTAATCCCAGCACTTTGGGAGGCCAAGGCAGGCGGATCACAAAGTTAGGAGTTCGAGACCAGCCTGACCAACATGGTGAAACCCCGTCTCTAGTAAAAATTAAAAAAGTAGCTGGGCACTGTGGCAGGCACCTGTAATGCCAGCTACTCAGGAGGCTGAGGCAGGAGAATCACTTGAACCCAGAGGCAGAGGTTGCAGTGAGTCGAGATCACACTACTCCACCCCACTGTAGGTGACAGAGCGAGATTCTGACTCAAAAAAAAAAAAAAAAAAAAAAAGAATCTTAGCACAATCCCGCTGAAAAAGTAATCTCTGTCACTATAAACAGTTTCAAATGACAGAGAAATTGTAGCATGTTGCAGGCTGGGTGAGGCTGACGTCTCAATCCCAGCACTTTAGGACGCCAAGGCAGGCAGACTGCTTGAGTACAGGACTTTGAGACAAGCCTGGGCAACACGGTGAAACACCATCTCTACAAAAAAATACAAAAACTAGCCAGGAATGGTGGCACATGCCTGTAGTCCCATCGACTTGGGAATCTGAGGTGGGAGGATCACTTGAGCCTGAGAGGCAGAGATTGCAGTAAGCTGTGATTGCACCACGGCACTCCACCCTGGGCAACAGAATTGGAAGCCCAAGGTTCCAGATGCCCAGGCAGCTGAACAGCCTGCTAAGAACAACTGAGAGTAAAGTTCCTATAAATCAACGCGGTAAAATACCTTAATTCTGTCTAACCAGACAACAGTGAAATATGTATAGATCCACTGAAAAGAAAAAAAAGCCAGGCCAGGTGTAGTGGCTAATGCCTGTAATTCCAGCACTTTAGGAAACCAAGGCAGGCAGGTCACCTGAGGTCAGGAGTTTGAGACCAGCCAGGTCAACATGGTGAATCCCTGTCTCTACTAAGAAATAAAAAAATTAGCTGGGTGTGGTGACGGGTACCTGTCATACCAGCTACTCAAGAGACTGAGGCAGGAGAATCACTTGAGCCTGGGAGGCGGAGGTTGCAGTGAGTTGAGATCATGCCACTGCACTCTAGCCTGGATGATAGATAGCGAGACTCTGTCTCAAAAAAATAAAAAATGCAATAATTATACAACTGTCCTAGATTTTACATATCTACAACCTACTGCCTTTAATCCCAGATACACAGGTTATTAGGATGCTGACTTGAAGGAGAGGCCATTTGTACTGGCCTAGGAGACAGTAAATAAACCTTACTTACAGGAGACAGCATCTTCAATCTGTGTCACATTAGCAAAGTGGGCAGTATTTGGGATGCCCAAACACCTCATGCCATGAGCATGACGCCATTCCTGGGAGAAGAGAGATGCAAAAGGACCATGTGAAATGGGAATAGCTGAACACAGAGCACTAACTCCATTCTACTCATAAATGCTAACATGGCCCTTTCCAGGACTCCACCTAAAGGCAGCATTCCTTGTGTTTCATGTTTGTAAACAGCTGGCTGTGACTGACAAAAGGCTGGTATTTCAAAACAGCATTGCACTGTTTGCCTCACTGGGCTGTGTTGTAAACCTAGATTCTAGAGACAGTAGTCTTACATGTAAAATTTCTGGGTGAGGATCACAGGAAAACATCACAACTCTAACTATATGTCCCACACTGCGGGAGAACCTACCAAAGCCCCAGCAACTCTGAACACCTGCATGAATACAGGTTACTAATGGCAGGTCAGCATCATCTTTGTTAGGCATAATGATGTGGTAAAACATGATGGCAGTTTTGGCTGAGGGATGGTAAATGGCATGTGGGTTTTAACCTGGATGTCAACTCCAATCATTGGAAGTGGTGCTGAGAAATATTCAGAACTCACTCATGGGCTCAGCAAAAAAGACCCAGGATCAATTAGTAATATGCATGACTCAGAGATGGGGAGAGGAGTTCATATAAATTCATCATCCTGGGCTGGGCGAGGTGGCTCAAGCCTGTAATCCCAGCACTTTGGGAGGCCAAGGCGGGTGGATCACAAGGTCAAGAGACCGAGACCATCCTGGTCAACAAGGTGAAACCCTGTCTCTACTAAAAATACAAAAATTAGCTGGGCATGGTGGTGCGCGCCTGTAGTCCCAGCTACTTGGGAGGCTGAGGCAGGAGAATTGCTTGAACCCAGAAGGCGGAGGTTGCGGTGAGCCGAGATCGTGCCATTGCACTCCAGCCTGGGTAACAAGAGCGAACCTCCGTCTCAAAAAAAAAAAAAAAAAAAAATTTCATCATCCTTGGTCTAGCATAAATCTTTTCCATTCTGTAATATTTCTTTCCAAAGTCTAAGAACTGAAAGTAGAGTCCAGTTAGAGGAGAGCCCACTTAGAGTAGCACCACCCGAACAATACCGTCTCAAGAATAGCTTGATAAATAACAGCCCCTTTGTTTTCTCAAAGAGGCAAAGGCCCATTTAAGATCCAAAAGAGATCAGTCAGTTCCATTTTCAGTCCTGAGTTTTAGCAATGGGGTAGAGAAATAACCAAATCAAAATTGATCTAAAATGTTAGCAAAAAACAAAGAGAGAAGTCTAAGAGCAGGCAAGAGAAAACCAAATGAGGTTCAAAGAGCAGAGTGGTAGAATTCCTCCAGAAACTGTCTCAGGTATTAACACTAATACTGGGGCCAAAAGTCAAATGCCATGGGCTGGATTTTAAAACTATCCTTTTCTGATTCCCTTCAGCTCTGGACACCAGTGGTCCACATGGGCTGCTCCTACTCTCTTCTCTAAAAGTCTAATGTTTTCACTTCAATTCCCAGGAAAAATGGCTCTGAATTTCTTACAGCAAAGTGTCGCTGGAAGGCTTTGGGCCCTCGGTAGGTGTAGTTTCCACAAATCTCACAGTTGTAGTTGATATTTAGGCCATGAAGCTTATATAGCCAGTAGGGAATGGGCTAAAAAAGAAAAACAAAAACAAAAAACAAAACCATCATGAAGTGTTAGCCTACTCAACTCTGTATCTGCTTCCAAAATGGGGAATGGGGAGAAAGTGGTAGTGCTGAGACTTACTTTGCCATCCCAGCCAAGCGGCAGGTTTTTGGGGTTGTAAATGATCTCATTCTCTTCATCTTCACTCTCACTCTCACTAATCTGCTCTTCTTCCTCCTCTTCTCGCTCTTCTCCTGTCCTTGCTTGCTTGCGTTGTACATTTTCATGCGTGAGATGTCGCTGTTCCTAAGGCAGGTCCATAAATGAAAAGTCAGAAAAAAGTAGTGCAGAAGAGGCCAGGCGTGGTGGCTCACATCTGTAATCCCAAGCACTTTGGGAGACCGAGGCGGGCAGATCACCTAAGGTCATGAGTTCGAAATCAGCCTGACCAACATAGAGAAAACCTGTCTTTACTAAAAATAAAAAATTAGCCGGGCATGGTGGTGCATGTCTATAATTCTGGCTACTTAGGACGCTAAAGCAGAACTGCTTGAACCTTGGAGGTACAGGTTGTTGTGAGCTGAGATCACACCACTGCACTCCAGCCTTGGCAACAAGAGTGAAACTCTTGTCTCAAAAAAAAAGTGCAGAATAAGAAGGGGAAATTTCCTGTTGCTGACCCCTTACTTCCAAGGATAAGGTTCTTTCTTCTAGAATAAAGGAAAATCTTGCCTTTATATCAGAACTCCTTATCAGCAGGCCCTACCTGATCCCAAAAAAAAAGTCTAAGGTTTTAGATAACTTGCTTAATTACTCATCTGAGGCTATTACAGAACAACAGAAAACAGTCTCATCTATTCTGACTCTAAAATATTTCCTGGCTTACACCTGCAATCCCATCAATTTGAGAGGCTAAGGTGGGAGAATCATTTGAAGCCAAGAGTTTGACATCAGCCTGGGCAACACAGTGGGACCCTGTCTCTACGAAATAATTAAAAATTAGCTAAGCATGGTGGTGTGTATCTGTGGTCCCAGCTACTTAGGAGGCTGAGGCAGGAGGACTGTTTGAGCCCAGGAGTTTGAGGAAGCAGTGAGCTATGATCCCGCCATTGCATTCCAGCCTGGGTGACAGAGCAAGAACCTTTCTCTTTTTTCTTTTTTAATTTTTATTTATTTATTTATTTTTTTAAGACGGGGTTTCACCATGTTGGTGGTCAGGCTGGTCTTGAACTCCCAACATCAGGTGATCCGCCCACCTTGGCCTCCAAAGTGCTTGGATTACAGGTGTGAGCCACCACACCTGGCCCGCAAGAACCTTTCTCTAAAAAATACTAATAATAAAATTTTAAAAATATAAAATATTTCCTTACACAGGACTTCTCCTTTCCTCACCAACATGACCACATTCTAACTTGCCTTGAGTCTCTCCTCATTCCAGTCCAATTTCCATTTTGCTACCAGGTTTATCTGTTTAAAAATCCAAATCTGTGGCCGGGCATAGTGGCTCACACCTGTAATCCCAACACTTTGGGAAGCTGAGGCAGGTGGATCACCTGAGGTCAGGAGTTCAAGACCAGCCTGACCAATATGGTGAAAACCCGTCTCTACTAAAAATACAAAAATTGGCTGGGCGTGTTGGGTCACTCTTGTAATCCCAGCACTTTGGGAGGCTGAGGTGGGCAGATTACGAGGTCAAGAGATTGAGAACATCCTGGCCAACATGGTGAAACCCCGTCTCTACTAAAAAATACAAAAATTATCTTCTCACGCAACTAATGTGAAAGTTTGAAAAACAAAACAAAAAAAATTAGCCGGGAGTAGTGGCGGGCATGGGTGATCTCAGCTACTTGGGAGACTGAGGCAGGAAAATTGCTTAAACCCAGGAGGCGGAGGTTGCAGTGAGCCAATATTGCACCACTGCATCCCAGCCTGGGCGACATGAGACTCTGTCTAAAAAAAATTCCAAATCTGTGGCACACTATTCTACTTAAAGAACTTCTTCTTTTTTTTTTTTTTTTTTTGAGACGGAGTTTCGCTCTAGTTACCCAGGCTGGAGTGCAATGGCGCGATCTCGGCTCACCGCAACCTCCGCCTCCTGGGTTCAGGCAATTCTCCTGCCTCAGACTCCTGAGTAGCTGGGATTACAGGCACGCGCCACCACGCCCAACTAATTTTTTGTATTTTTAGTAGAGACAGGGTTTCACCATGTTGACCAGGATGGTCTTGATCTCTTGACCTCGTGATCCACCCACCTCGGTTTCCCAAAGTGCTGGGATTACAGGGGTGAGCCACCGCGCCCAGCAAACTTCTATTGGCTTCCTACTGCTTATAAGGCAAAGTCCAAATTTCCAACATAAGTCTCTCAAGTTTTCTCTCACCATTCCCTCCCTCACGAGCCATATTCCAGGCACACTACATTTCTCATTTCATGAACACATAATTTTAACTAATACTGTTTTATCTTTGTGGTTGCGGTTTCCTCGCCAGGAACTTTTTCTTCTCCCTCTTTCTACTTAGAAAACTCAACCTCACTGTATTAAGGTATGTATCATATTATATTGTAATTATTTGTCTCCCTTAACCACAAAATTAGTTTCTCAAGGGCAAGAGGCTATGTCATATTCAGCCTCTTGGTACAGTCATTTTACTGTACCAAAAAAATTCACATAATGTCCAAAATCCGACATCAACAAATGGTGTAATAAAAAGTTTTATCGGTTCATAGTGAAAGCAACTTTCTGTAAAGTATTTGGCTAGGACGGGCTGGAATTCTGAAGACAATAGTGCTGTCTCCTGGCAGGGAAAGCAAAATGCCCTTAAAGGAGGGAGAAGCCAACCCTGATAGATCCCACCTGCAACCCCAGCACTTTGGGAGGCCAAGACGAGAGGATCACTTGAGTCCAGGAATTCAAGACCAGCCTGGCCAACACGGCAAAACCCTGTCTCTACCAAAAATACAAAAATTGACCGGGTGTGGTGGCACCTACCTGTAGTCCCAGTGACTGGGGAGGCTGAGGCACAAGAATCACTTGAACCTGGGAGGTGGAGGTTGCAGTGAGCTGAGATCACGCCACTGCACCCCAGCCTGGGTGACACAGTGAGACACTGTTTCAGAAAAAGGGCCAGGTGTGGTGGCTCACATCTGTAATCCCAGCACTTTCAGAGGTCAAGGTGGGCAGATCACTTGAGGCCAGGAGCTCAAGGCCAGCCTGTCCAACATGGTGAAACCCCATCTCTACTAAAAAAGACAAAAATTAGCCAGGTGTGGTGGCATGCCTGTAGTCCCAGCTACTCGGGAGGCTGAGGCAGAAGAACAGCTTGAACCCAGGAGGTGGAGGTTGTAGTGAGCTGAGATTGCGCCACGGCACTCCAGCCTGGGTGACAGAGTGAAACTCTGTCTCAAAAAAAAAAAAAGGGAGAGAGTTGACAAACTTCATGTCAAGGGCATGATTTTGTCAGTGGCCTCCTAGCCACCTTTACAAGACTAGCAACTCAGCCTAGCATAGCCCAAGTTCATAGTGAAGAATATGTCTCTCTAATATTCAATGTCCAGCTAGCCCTTTTTAATTTATTTTTTTTGAGACAGAGTTTCACTGTTGTTACCCAGACTGGAGTGCAATGGCACGATCTTGGCTCACCGCAATTTCCGACTTCTCGGTTCAAGCAAGTCTCCTGCCTCAGCCTCCCGAGTAGCTGGGACTACAGGCACGCACCACCATGCCCAGCTAATTTTTGTATTTTTAGTAAAGACGGGGTTTCACCTTGTTGACCAGGATGGTCTCGATCTCTTGACCTTGTGATCCACCCGCCTCGGCCTCCCAAAGTGCTGGGATTATAGGTGTGAGCCACTGTGCCTGGCCGTCTAGCTAGCCTTTTACTGAAAGCAGTCATAACAGAATCGCAGCTGACTAATTCTACAGCTATTATATAGATGGTCCTCAAACACGGGGAGAATGAAAATGTCCACGGCAATTAACAAAAAAATATGTAAACAAGCTATCTGACCCAGAGCCATCTGACTCAGAAGGACCATGTGAGTGTATGTAAAGGGAAAGGCTCTGAGAGTTAAAAATTGGGCCAGGCTCAGTGGCTCATGCTTGTAATCCCAGCACTTTGGGAGGCCGAGGTGGGTAGATCATGAGGTCAGCCCGGCCAATATAGTGAAACCCCGCCTCTACTAAAAACACAAAAAATGAGTTGGGCGTGATGGCGTGTGCCTTTAGTTCCAGCTGCTCAGGAGGCTGAGGCAGAAGAATTACTTGAACCCGGGAGATGGAGATTGCAGTGAGCCGAGATTGCCTGGGCGACAAATCGAGACTCTGTCTCAAAAAAAAGAAAGGAAAAAAGAAAAAGAAAAAAACTCCACACAGCGTCTCTGGAGGAAAGACACTGAACATCTTCTCTGGATGATCAGTGCTGCCTTTTCTTCCTGGAAAGAGATTTATTTACCTCCTACTCCTCTCCCTACTTTCTCTCTGAGATAAGTATCTTGGTCAGGCTAAGCCCTTTTCTACCCCAAACCACACTTCAGCTCGTCCGGAAATATTGAAGGAGAACATTCACTGCCAGCTTTGTACTATTAATACTCTAGCCCTACTAAGTTTCTCACAACCTTATGAACATGTAAGTCAATGCCTTTTCCTAAGTCATAACTGAAAGGCTGCTGCGAGTAGCATGTTACCTGCCCTTTAAGTGTCTGCTTTGTGGGCCACCCGAGTATTTTCTGAAGCTCAGGCAAAAAGCCTGCACATTCTAGACATTATATTAAGAAGGGACTCTCTTCCCCATGCCTGGTCTTATGGGAATTGGGCAACTTTGGGAGCATCATCTAACAACAGAATACGAACTTACTCAAGAGCCTGGTACCCTGACCTCTATTTTGTGCCATACTAGTTTATTACCTATCCATTACTCTTTTGAACCTAGAGAAAAAAATATCTTCCATGAGTTCCTCGCCATTTAACTCCCATACTTTACACCAATTTTCCGCTTTCAGCAGTCACTTACCCCGAGAATCTCTACGTATTCATAGATTTGGGCTTCTAGAAAAGCAATGTCTTTGTTCCTCTCAGTGTCTCTGAGAAAAAGAAACAAGCCATTATCACTCAAGGATTCTCTCATCCATTGCTTTGCTCCCTATATCTGGGAACAGTTACTGCACACTGCATTAAAAATTATAAACACGAGAAATGACATCCTGTGAAAGCAAATGCTCTGTCATCTCGTGACTCTGACAGAAATATTTCTTAGAATGCATGGAGGCTTCCTCTATGACCTCATCTAGAAGGTGAAAGACATATCAAGAGCACTTAAATTTCCATCATTATAATCTACAAAAAAATGTGATATAGAAGAGCAAGTTCTGCAGTAGATAGACCTGGGCCCAAATCCTGACTCTGCTACTTACAACTATGAGAGAGTGGACACATACCATAACTTTTCTGGGTCCTTATCTGTAAAAACTCAGAATAACAATTACTTTTTAGGGTTGTTGTAAGAATTAGAAAAAAACATGCATTAAGAAAATGGGCCAGGCGCGGTGGCTCATGCTTGTAATCCCAGCACTTTGGGAAGCTGAGGCAGGAGGATCGCTTGAAGTCAGGCACTCATGACCAGCCTGGCCAACATGGTGAAACCCCGTCTCTACTAAAAATACAAAAATTGGGCGGGTGCAACGGCTCATGCCTGTAATCCCAGCACTTTGGAAGGCCAAGGCAGGTAGATTGCCTGAGGTCAGTTCAAAACCAGCCTGGCCAACATGGTGAAACCCTGTCTGTACTAAAAATACAAAAATTAGGTGGGCACAGTGGTTCACACCTGTAATCCCAGCACTTTGGAAGGCCAAGGCAGGTGGATTGCCTGAGGTCAGGAGTTCAAAACCAGCCTGGCCAACATGGTGAAACCCTGTCTCTACTAAAAATACAAAAAATTAGCCAGGCATGGTGGCAGGTGTCTATAATCCCAGCTACTCGGGAGGCTAAGGCAGGAGAATCACTTAAACCTGGGAGGCAGAGGTTGCAATAAGCCAAGACTGTGCTACTGCACTCCAGCCTGGGCAAAAGAGTGAGACTTCATCTCAAAAAAGAAAAAAAAAATCCCTCAGCTGGGTGCAGTGGCTCACACCTATAATCTCAGCACTTTGGGAGGCCAAGGTGGGTGAATCACTTAAGCTCAGGAGATGCAGACCAGCATGGCCAACATGACGAAACCCATCTCTACTAAAAATACAAAAATCAGCCAGGTGTGGTGGTGCACACCTGTAGTCCCAGCTACTCAGGAGGTTGAGCAAGTGAATCCCTTGAACCTGGGAGGTGAACTCCAGTTTGGGTGACAGAGCGAAACTGTGTGTCAAAAAAAAAGAAAAGACCCTGTATAAGTATGCAGCTCAAGAATTAGATTCAACTTTCATTACCAAAAATAAGCTTAGAAAAATATTTTTTGGCTGGGCGCAGTGGCTCACGTCTGTAATCCCAGCACTTTGGGAGGTCGAGGCCGGCAGATTGCGAGGTCAGGAGTTCAAGATCAGCCTGGCCAATATGGTGAAACCCCGTCTCTACTTAAAATACAAAAGAGCAGGCTGAATCTGTCAACCAATAATGGGAATAAAGCAGACTCTAATTTAAAATCTCCACTGTGGTTAAAAATTGTGCATGGGAATGACATTCAAAAGCCACAAAGAGAGGTGCTACCCCAGCCACTCACCGCTTGGTGCCCTTTGACTTGGGATTTTTGGCAAACAAAGAGGTATCAAGTGATTCCAGGGACTTTCCTTTGGTGCTGAATAGTCTCTGGGCTCGCTCTTCTAGGGTCCTAAGGAGACAGAACAGGCAAAGGATTTCAGGGTTACTTTATCACACAGGCTTGCTTATTTTTGCAGTTTGGAGCAACAGAAAAAAATACGTAATCAGAGCTACTTAGAAGACTGTGCAAACACACAGTAAATCAAACAGTTTTGATAGAAAAACCATTCCTTACCCGCCACATTTCAAGCCTAAAGCTAAGAGAGCAGATTTCAATCTGTCCAAACCCAGAGAGGCCAACTCCTGTACAAAGAGAAAAAGTACAATTGAGATTTTTGGGAAACAACAAATGCAGGCCAGTGGGTGGGTGTTCCTGAGGCTGTGGCAGGACCACACATTTCATAGCCGATCTGGCAGTAAGTCTAAACTCTCCAGAGGACTGAGCCTGTAGTCATCTTCAGACTTAAACATACTGGTATTAACTATTACTGTTACTACAGCTTAATGTAGTTAGAGCGATTATTTCAGTTTCCCAAGTAGTTATTTTTTTCTTTTTACCTTGCTACCTTCTTTGTAGATGCTTGATCCCAGGAAAGAGTGCCTTATCACAACACAACCACGGTATTAAAGACAGGAGAGCAAGTGGTCCCTCTGAAAGATAGACAGGGAGAACAGTACTACCGCTGAAGGAAACATACCTCCCAGGAGGAGAATGCGGAGAGGTCAAGATGGGCTCCAGCATGGGTCAGAGCACTGCTTGTCTCTTTCTGGAAAGAAGAACAACATGTTATTTATTAAGGTCCAGGTTTAGGCCGGGCGTGGTGGCTCACAACTGTAATCTCAACACTTTGAGAGGCCAAGGTGGGTGAACTGCTGGAGCTCAGAAGTTAAGAGATCAGCCACAGCAACATGGTGAAACCCCATCTCTACAAAAAAATACATGAATTAGCTGGGTATGGTGGCATGTGCCAACTACTCAGGAGTCTAAAGTGGGAGGATCTCTTGAGTCCAGGCAGTTGAGGCTGCAGCAGTGAGGTATGATTGTGCCACTGCACTCCAGCCTAGGAGCAAGATGGAAAACTTGCTTCCAAAAAACAAAAAAACAAAACAGGTTTAGGATGAAGGTAAAGTTGGTCCACATTCCCTGCCTGGGGAGTTCAGGAAAAACTCAGGTTTATCCCCACAAGCAAGAATACAGATTCCTAACATATGATTGAATAAGCTTTTGGTAAGCAGAAACCACATGGCAGTAATGATATGATTGGCGAAAATCTGGGCACAGTCCAAGGCAAGTGGGCCCTGATAATCTTGCTCCAAAGTACACACAGAAAAACCTAGCATACTCGGCAGGGAATACCTCATGGTCACAAATGATACCAAGGAATTGATACCTAATGCCCTAAAGTGGAAGCTCAAGATAAAGGAAAATAATCAGTTCAATTCCCTGGCATGTCCACCATTCACACCCCACTGTAGCTCACCGGCCATCCAGGAAAGGTCCCATTCTCCCATTTCTTCTCAAACTCAGCCTGAATCTTCCCAAAAAGTTCATTCTGATCTTGGAGAGGCTTCACTCTATCCGTGTAATCCTGAAGGTACTCAAGCAGCATCTCTAGGTATCTACAGAGGAACACGTAACAAAGAGAAAGCAAAAAGGGTTTATATTTTTGGTATCTTGTTATATTCCCTGTAGAATAAATAGTACTTATAATTCTAGTAATAGTATTTTTTAATAATCATTTTTAAATGAACCTATAACGGACTTTTTTCTTGACATATCATTTTGATTCTGACCTTTCCTACCTCCTTTTATTCTCATGAAATAATGCTAATCTCGCACAGAAAATATTTCAGGAAAATGAAAATAAGAAAAAGAGAGAAAGGGTATAAAATCACTAATAAGGGGAGCAACTAACAAAAACATACATTTTTCACTTATACATCATACCCAAGCATCTCACTCCAGTCACAATCTGAGAAAGTCTAATTTTTTTCCCATTAAACTCCAAAAACACAGAAGTCCCAGAGTGGGAGAGTTCCTTCTACAGTGAGACAAAATTAAGAACAGTATGGGCATAAGATAGAAGATATGTCCACAGATACACCCTTGCCCACAACCAGAGTATCTCGAAGGTTTTAAAACCACATCATTTATAATCCTTAGCCTCCAATAAACCTTCATGTATGAAGGAAGTACGCCTTCATGTATGCCTTCCAAGCAACTAATTCGTAACTTCACCCTCAAAACCTTCACACTGTCTTCTAATCAAATCCAGGAGAGGCATAGAAGCTCTTAACACCTACCTCTTATATTCTGCATTCTTCCTTTCTTTAGGAATGTCAAATAATTGGTCAAAAATGGACAGGTATGTGATATAATCCAGCTTCTGAAAAGAGGAAAGAAATGATACAAAATTTAGTTAGGTATTTATACTGGAACAAGTTATAACCTCCTAAGTGAGATCAAAATTGAGTGTTTTCTAACAAGGTAACAAGGGCTGGCCATTTTGGTTTTTTTGCTTTCCCATAATTCAATCCTACTACAATTTGGAGTGTTAATTTCACTGGACCGTAAAATATCAGACATAATTAACTTTACAAAATAAAGTAGGAATATATCAGACATAACTAACTTTACAAAATAAACATATCAGGCAAATATCAGACATAATTAACTTTACAAAATAAAGATCACATTAATAAACAGTAAACTAAAGGAAACATTTGTTGATCATTACCTCATGCTGGGCTCTTGGTTAAAGACTCTAATATCCTAAAGTAAGGTCCTGAAAGTTGCCATTTACTCACACACGTAACCACTTATTGAGCATCTTTGTACCAAGTACAGGGTATAGAAGACAACAAAACAGACAAGGGACCTGACCTGCCCCCATGGAACTTCAAGTTTGGGCACTGTACTTCTGGGACATTTCCTCACAACTCCATGAAGAATCTAATCATGTATTTCCTGGTGACTCTTCTGATATTGTCATATTAAACCTCATCTCTTGTGATAAGCTATGTTTAAACATCTTTAAGAAAAGACATTAATGTGATAAGCTATGTTTAAACATCTTTAAGAAAAGACATTAAATAGCTTTTTGCTGACAGAAAGATCAAGTTGTTTTATCTTCCACGTACCTAAAACAGGAACGTGATAATTATTTTTAAAAATAAGAATTTTAGGCCAGGCACAGTGGCTCACGCCTGTAATCCCAGCACTTTGGGAGGCCAAGGTGGGCGAATCACAAGGTCAAGAGATCGAGACCATCCTGGCCATGGTGAAACCCCGTCTCTACTAAAAATACAAAAAATTAGCCGGGCGTGGTGGCACGCACCTGTGGTCCCAGCTACTCGGGAGGCTGAGGCGGAAAAATCACTTGAACCCAGGCGAAGGTTGCAGTGAGCCAAGATTGACTGCGCCACTGCACTCCAGCCTGGCGCCTGGTGACAGAGGGAAACTCTGTCTCATTAAAAAAAAAAAAAAAAAAAAAAAGAAAGAAAAACAAACAAACCCTATCTCAAAAAAAAAAAAAACAAAACTTGTTGTATTGATAATGGGCTGGGCACAATGGCTCATGCCTGTAATTCCAACACTGTGGGAGGCCGAAAAAGGAGAATCACTTGAGGTGAGGAGTTTGAGACCAGACTGGGCAACACTGCAAAACCCCATCTTTACAAAAAAAAAAAAAAAAAAAAAAAACCTAGCCAAGTGTGGTGGTAGTCTCAGTCTCAATTACTCAGAAGGCTGAGCCCAGAAGTGGAGGTTGCAGTGAGCAAAGATCACACCATTGCATTACAGACTGGACAACATGGTAAGACCCCATCTCAAAATAAAAAAATACTATTTATTGGCCGGGCGTGGTGGCTCAAGCCTGTAATCCCAGCACTTTGGGAGGCCAAGGCAGGTGGATCACTAGGTCAAGAGATCGAGACCATCCTGGTCAACATGATGAAACCCCGTCTCTACTAAAAATCAAAAAATTAGCTGGGCATGGTAGCACGTGCCTGTAATCCCAGCTACTCAGGAGGCTGAGGCGGGAGAATTGCTTGAACCCAGGAGGCTGAGGGTGCGGTGAGCCGAGATCGCGCCATTGTACTCAAGCCTGGGTAACAAGAGCGAAACTCCATCTCAAAAAAAATAAAATAAAAATAAAATTTATTAATAAATGTTTTCACTGTAGAAAATTTTCATTTTGAATAGTATTTCATTATCACCTCTTTGATATTATTTACATAACAGTTTGAAAACACAAGACACTCTACAATGGCTTCACGTCTAGCAGTCCCAGCCTAGTGTCCTGACTTACCTCTAGAATCAGAATCTCTCTCTCCTCTCCCAGGTCTTACCTCAGATGCCTTCAGGTTAATGTACTTGAGGTAACAATCATGGAGATCAAGGTAACGACCATATCCCTCTTCATCTGTGAACTCCACCAAGTCTGAGGGAATCAAATACATCAATGATTCAGATTCTACAGACCACTCTCTTGAACTTACCTTTTCAAATGGACTGCTTGTTCCTAGTTTCTTGAGGCAGCATGTCACCCAAATATCCTCCCTGTGCTCACAATATAACCTCCAATAAGTGAGATCAAAAGTGAGTGTTCTCTTACAAGGTAACATGGGCTGACTCATTTTAGTATTGTGAACTAAAGTGAATAATGCTTGGCTTTCCAAGCCAGTAAATTTTAGGTAGGAGAGAACAAAAGAAACATTTTGCCCAAGACCAATTTAGAATGTCACTCTAGCCCAGAAAGCAGCAAAGACAAAACCAACAAGAAAACCTGGTTATCAATATCTGAGGCCATGGCTGCATGACCTGTAACTGCTGCTGGTGTTGAATGAAATGTTCACCTCTACTCACTTTGTGCCTCTTCACTTGGATTCTCTCGAGCCTTCAGGAGCTCTTCAAATTCCACTGACATTGGCACACAGATCTGAAGGGAAAAGTGAAAGCTCAGGTGGATTTTTCTTTCTTTCTCTTTTTTTTTTTTTGACACAGAGTTTCACTCGTTACCCAGGCTGGAGTGCAATGGCATGATCTTGGCTCACCGCAACCTCCACCTCCTGGGTTCAGGCAATTCTCCTGCCTCAGCCTCCTGAGTAGCTGGGATTACAGGCCCCTGCCACCATGCCCAGCTAATTTTTTGTATTTTTAGTAGAGACGGGGTTTCTCCATGTTGACCAGGATGGTATCAACCTCATGATCCACCCGCCTCAGCCTCCCAAAGTGCTGGGATTACAGGCGTGAGCCACCGCGCCCGGCCCTCATTTTTTTTGTTTTTTGAGATGGACTCTCGCTCTGTTGCCCAGGCTGGAGTGCAGTGGCACAATCTTGGCTTACTGCAGCCTCCATCTCCTGGGTTCAAGCGATTCTCCTGCCTCAGCCACCCAAGTAGCTGAGATTACAGGCACTCCACCACACCTGACTAATTCTTATATTTTTAGTAGAGACAGGTTTTTGCCATGTTGCCCAGGCTGGTCTCAAACTCCTAAGCTCCAGTGATCTGCCTGTCTCAGCCTCCCGAAGTGCTGAGATTACAGGCATGAGCCACCACGCCCACCCTCAGGTAGAATTTTCAATGTAAAAGTTACAAGATCACAGAAATGAAGTACACAGAAAGTTGGACTTCTGATGCTATATATGGCCTTGATTTTTCACTAAGAGTCTACCCAGAACAGTAGTTCTTCAATTACCTTGTTCTCCCCTCACTTTTATACTGCTTGAGTAAAACTCACTAAAGTAACATATGCTCAGAAAACCTCAAACAATACAAAAAGAAAAAACAAAAGTCCACCTTTATTAATTATCCTCGGAACAGGTAACCACTGTAACAGTTTTTTCTATGCCAGTGATTGCCAAACTTTGCTGCACATTAGCATCACCTGGGGGAGTTTAAAAAAAAAAATCCTGATGCACCCAATACCAATTAAATCAGAGGATGGTTAAGTATCAGTACTTTTTAAAAATCCCCAGGTGACTCAAATATGCACAAAGTTTGGAAACCACTGCTCTATGGATTTAAATATATGTATTTGTACAAGCACATTCATGCCTGCACAGATTTTTATTTTTTACATAAAGACCTGTTTCTGGCACTTGGTATACCTTGGACATCCTTCTAATCAGTCATTCAACCATTTATTCCTCATCACCTTTTGACCATGGCTGGAATAAGGTTAACACAACAGAATGGTATTTATCTATTCTCTCTTGGTTAGCAGAAGACCTCACATTCTATCCTTCAATGGGGCTATGTGCATGAGGGTGCCTTCATTTACCTCTGCACTACAATAAATAGCCTCTTTTTTTTTTTTTTTTGCTATATTTAATATCTTCCTTTTTCCCTGTGCTCCTTCAAACATGTATGCTTTTTTGTTTTTTTTGAGATGAAGTCTCACTCCGTCTCCAGGCTGGAGTACTGTGGAATGATTACTGCAATCTCCACCTCCCGAGTTCAAGCGATTCTCCTGCCTCAGCCTCCCAAGTAGCTGGGACTACAGACGTGTCGCACCACGCTCAGCTAATTTTTTCTATTTTTAGTAGAGATGGGGTTTCACCATGTTAGCCAGGATGGTCTTGAACAACTGACCTCAGGTGATCCACCCACCTCAGCCTCCCAAAGTGCTGGGATTACAGGCATGAGGCACTGCTTCCGGCCCCTACCAGCCTTTCCAATGCACATTCCACATTCCATACCTCTACTTCTCCATTACCCATCTTTACCTTGTGACCAGATTTCTATTCCTACTACTTGAATTAAATAGCCATCCTGGAAGTTATCAATCGGTAACCATGACTGCCTTTCTGAATCTCTCTTTTGACAACACCTGGAGCAGTGATGAAGGTCTTCCCAGGCCCTTTTTTTATGACCCACCTTATTACAAGTGAGCTCCAAGGCATATGGAGAGGCTCTGACAGACTCCCTTCACATTCTCTTGCCTCAGAACTCAAGGATTTATCAACCAACAAATCAATGTGATGATTCCCAATTCTAAATCATAAGCCTTTACTTCTTGTGTGGCGGTAACTGCTCAAGAGACATTTCTATTCCTAGATATACCTCTATTTAAAAATTTACATATATAAAAACTTATTTCTTATGGCAAATGGGTTACCTCCTTATTCCTTTTCTTTTCTTTCTTTCTTTTTTTTTTGAGACACAGTTTCATTCTTGTTGCCCAGGCTGGAGTACAATGGCGTGATCTTGGCTCACTGCCTCAGCCCCCTGAGTAACTGGGGTTACAGGCAACTGCCACCATGCCCAGCTAAGTTTTGTATTTTTAGTAGAAATGGGGTTGCACCATGTTGGCCATGGCTAGTCTTGAACTCCTGACTTCAGGTGATCCACCTGCCTCAGCCTCCCAAAGTGCTGGGATTACAGGTATGAGCCACCATGGCTAGCCTTTTATTTCTATCAAGAGAACAAACAACTTTCTAGTTATAGTCACAAAAACTCAGAATAATCTTTTGACTCATCCTTCTCCACCCTCCCTGCAGCCATATCTTGCCCCATTGACCCCTTTGGTCAGCTGTGTAAAGTGCCGTGTGGGTTCTAGATAATTGAGACATAAATCCTGCTCTTTACATTACGGTATGGCAGGGCAGACATTTATTGTCATAAAATACATTAGGGGCCGGGTATAGGGGTGCACATCTGTAATCCCAACATTTTGGGAGGCCAAGTCAGGCAGATCATTTGAGATCAGGAGTTCCAGACCAGCCTGGCCAATGTAGTGAAACCCTGCCTCTACTAAAAACACAAAGAAATTAGCCAGGTGTGGTGGCAGGTGCCTGTAATCCCAGCTACTCAGAAGGCTGAAGCAAGAGAATCATTTGAACCTGGGAGGCAGAGGTTGCAGTGATCTGAGATCGAGCCATTGCACTCCAGCGTGGGCGACAAAAACAAGACTTTGTCTCAAAAAAAAAAAAAAAAAAAAAAAAAAGTTGGACGTGGCATCTGCCTGCCTTGTAATCCCAGCTACTTGAGGGCTGAGGCAGAAGAATCACTTAAACCCAAAGACAGAGTGGTTCACCACTACACTCCAGCTTGGGTGATAGAGTAAGACTCTATCTCAAAACAAAAAAACCAATAGGATCATAAAGAAAGACTGATTTTCGGCAGAAGGCAGACTAGGAAAAATATTTCATGAAAGAGTTTGCCTCTGAGCTGAATCCTTAATGTGAAATGAACTTTGGAAATGAGTAAAATTATCTTGTTAACTGGATCCTCTAGGTAGAAGACTTCAAGACAGAGTTAGAAGCACAATTTATTGGGAAGAGTAATTTCTGTGAAGGTAAAAAGGAAGAGAAAGCAGGATTAGGCCAGGATAGCCTAAACCACATGCAGATTGGACAAAATCTTGACCAACCCAACAGGGAGCTGTGGAGCAAAGACTAATAATCAGAGGAGTCTCACAGTGGACCAAATTGCTGGCCCAGTACCCAAACTGTGCTCAGTCACTGGTTGGGGGCCGCACATGAAATGCGGCCTTGGCTTAAAAGATGAGGGGGGATGCTGAAAACACTGCAGTTGTAGAATGTTAGCTAACTATGGTCCTTGCAGCTAAATGTCAAGTTCTTTCTTGAAGTTCATTAGAATAGCACATGTCCAGTTTCCTTTACTCCTTTCCTTTAGTATGCTTTAAGAATAGGTCTGGAGAAAAGACCTATTCTTTTCTCATACCTCATTTGGGTGCTTCCGGTGGAATTCCTTTATTTGCTTGAGTCTATTATAGAATTCAGCAAACTCATTGGGTCCTGAAATGGCATTGAGCTCCTCCTTTCGTAATCTGCAATTTCAGGAAAAATTCAAAGAAGATAGAGCACAAAGTCAGTCCTCTAACTAGGGTTCCTCAGAAACACCAATTCTTAGATTAGCTGTGACTGTCACTTACCCATCCTTATCATCATACAAATCCCTCAGGTTCCCACTGACCTCCATATACCTCTGAAAGGCAAATACAAAACCATCAGAACGACACAATTTGCACAACTGTAGAGCTAAGCAAACAACAAGGGCTCTCCAGTCAAAGCCCAAGGGCAACCTCAAGAGACATGGATATGGTCTTAACAGTTCCTGTACTTCCTAGTACCTTTTAACACACAGCCCTGATTCCAGGTTAGTTTTTTAAATAGGTTGACTGGAAGATTACCAAAATGATATCATTTAAGAGGTGGCTCCTATCTTTACATACCACCAATGCCTAACTCTGTCTGTAACAGATTCATCCTCATTGGCTAAACACAGTTCCCACCTAAAATCCTCAAAGATAATGATATTCACCATTTCAAAAAGCTTGACTGAGGAGCAGGCAGGCTAAATAAACATTACATAGGCTTCCTTTGGAGTCAAAGTATATTAATTCAGGATGGTACAGGTATGTAGTCATGCCTCCAAAACTTTGGGGACCAGGTTTGTTTCAGAATTTGGAATTTTTTAAGTTCAGAAAAGGTATCATATATTATGTAACATCCCTAGTGGAATCTGAAGCACACAGTTCTGCAGTAAACCTTATGCCTTATCTACTAAGTGGGATAAATAAAAGACTATAAAAAGCCTATCCCAGGTTCAGGCCAGGTTTTACTACCAAGTGAGGTCAAGTCAGATTTTGACATCAAATAATCACCCAAGGGAAAAAAAATCCTTAGTTTTCAGAGTATTTTGGGGCTGAGGGCTTGTAATCTGATTCTCTCCTGTAAATCAGAAGATCCAAGTAGGTCTTTTATTCCTTTTTAAACAGGTTTCAAACATACGTTAAGAGTAAGGAAGGTAGCATAACTTCCATTTACTCATCACCCAATTTTTATAATTTATATAACATCTTTTTTTAAAGTAATAAATTGAGCAATTACAAGGCAAATGCAGTTTAGTAGTCCAAAAAACTTTAAAACAGTATCCTGACAGAAAAACACTAATATATGTTTTTTTTTTAAGAGAAGGATTGTAGCTGTGCACTTGTGTCATAGATTCCTCATAACTATTGTTTGCACATCCAAGGGATACGGGATGCTGTAAGAATGTGCACTTGGGCCAGGCGCGGTAGCTCACGCCTATAATCCCAGCACTTTGGGAGGGCGAGGTGGGTGAATCACTAGGTCAAGAGATCGAGACTATCCTGGTCAACATGAGAAACCCCGTCTCTACTAAAAATACAAAACTTAGCTGGGCATGGTGGCGCAGCCTGTAGTCCCAGCTACTCGGGAGGCTGAGGTAGGAGAATTGCTTGAACCCAGGAGGCGGAGGTTGCGGTGAGCCGAGATCACGCCATTGCACTCCAGCCTGGGTAATAACAGTGAAACTCCGTCTCAAAAATATTAAAAAAAAAAAAAAAAAAAAAAAAAAAAGAATGTGCACTTGTAGGCAGGGCGCGGTGGCTCATGTCTGTAATCCCAGTACTTTGGGAGGCTGGGGTGGGTGGATCACGAGGTCAGGAGTTCGACATCATCCTGGTCAACATGGTGAAACCCATCCTACAAAAACACAAAAAATTAGCCAGGTGTAGCGGCAGCCGCCTGTAATCCCCCTATTCGGTAGGCTGAGACAGGAGAATCGCTTGAACCCGGAAAGTGGAGGTTGCAGTGAGCCCAGATCACGCCACCGCACTCCAGTCTGGGCAACAAGAGCAAAACTCGGTCTCAAAAAAGAAAAGAAAAGAGCCGGGCGCCGTGGCTCACGCCTTTAATACCAGCACTTTAGGAGGCCGAGGCGGGTGGATCACGAGGTCAAGAGATCGAGACCATCCTGGTCAACAAGGTGAAACCCCGTCTCTACTAAAAATACAAAAATTAGCTGGGGATGGTGGCGCGCACCCGTAGTCCCAGCTACTCGGGAGGCTGAGGCAGGAGAATTGCTTGAACCCAGGAGGCAGAAGTTGCGGTGAGCCGAGATCGTGCCATTGCACTCCAGTATGGGTAACAACAGCGAGACTCCGTCTCAAAAAAAAAAAAAAAAAAAGAAAAGAAACTAAAAGAATGGGCATCTTCCCGAGTAATTAAGAATGCGTAAGAGTTCCCCATTCAGAGAAGTGAGGAAGCACCCTCACGTTCGGCAGCCGGTGGACTGCCCAGACAGAGAGCCCTCGACTGGCCAATCCGGTTACCTTTGGCCAGGGCTCATGCTGAGACAAGCACTTCACTTCCCCTCTCTTTTCCCGCCCTCGCCGACCCAAAAAGAGGCAGACAGCAGCGCACTCACATCTTGCATGGCCCGAGTGCGGTGATCAGAATTGATCTGGTCCCGGAGCTGAAAAAACAAACGGTGACACAAACGCCGTTAGTTTACGTTCCGGAGTAGAAAAGGCCGCCCGAGGGCGGAGCTCACCGGCTCAGGTTTTAGCAGCTGAGGCGGAAAGGCCTTTGGGGCACTGGACTCCGGGAGGAGGTTACCAAGACCGGAGCTCGGAGACGGAGCTCCGGAGGAGACGGGGGCGGAGCGTGGGGAGACTGAGGCCCAAAGCAAGCTCTCAGAGGTCAAACACGGGATAGAGGCCCAGCCTCACACGCAGCCCCTGACCAGACCCAACTTACCGTGGACTTCTTAGTGAGCATCTCTTTGGCCATGACGTCCATGAGCCGTTCTTTCTCCTCATGATAGCGCCGCTGTTGCTCCAGTATCGTCTCCATCTTCCCTTCGCCGCGGACTCTCAATACAGACCACCTACAAGGCGGAAACAACCCGTGCCGCCTTGCGCGCCTGAGTCCCCACGTTGCGCATCCGGCCGCACCAAAGTTCCTCCAGTGCCGGAAGTGTCCAGGGACTTAGGAAAACATGAGCACCACAAGGAGGACGAGTCTATGTTATCGAGATGGCAACAGTGCCACCTGCTGGTCGGAGGTGTGGTGGACGGACGCCAAGAGGTTTGCAGATTCCTCCAGGTGGCATAGGAAAATCCAAGAACTTGAGGTTCAGCGGCGGGCTTCCCGGGGCTTGCGGGTGCCGGCTGGGCGGACAGGTACCCTGTGTGGACTGTGCGAGCAGTTGGAGTCCGGATGGGAGCTGGGAAACCGGAATTTGAGGGCGCAGTTTTCAGCATGAATTATCAGAACGTTTGCTCCTTCTCTGGACCTCAGTGTCTTTCTCAGTGAAATGGGAATAGTGGGGTTTTGCTGGTGGGTTTTTTTTTTTTTTTGAAACGGAGTCTTGCTCTGTCGCCAAGTTGGAGTGCAGCGGCGCGATCTTGGTTCACTGCAACCTCTGCCTCCCGGGTTCAAGCACTTCTCCTGCCTCAGTCTCCCGAGTAGCTGGGACGATAGGCGTGCGCCACCACACCCAGCTAATTTTTTTTGTATTTTAGTAGAGACAGGGTTTCGCTATGTTGGCCAGGATGGTCTCGATCTCCTGACCTTGTGATCCAACCGCCTTGGCCTCCCAAAGTGCTGGGATTACAGGCCGGAGCCACCAATGGTGGTGTTTTAAAAGAAATTCTCAAGTGAGGCCGGGCGCGGTGGTTCACGCCTGTAATCTCAGCACTTTGGGAGGCCAAGGCCAGCGGCTCACTTGCGGTCTGGTCAACATGGTGGAACCCCGTCTCTACTAAAAAAAAAAAAAAAAATTAACCGGGCATGGTGGCAGGTGCCTGTAGTCCCACCTACTTGGTAGACTGAAGCGGGAGAATCGCTTGAACCCAGGAAGCAGAGGTTGCAGTGAGCTGAGATTGTACCACTGCACTCCAGCCTGTGTGACACAGCAAGACTCAGTCTCAAAAAAAAAAAGAAAGAAAGAAAAGAAAAAGAAATTGATGTGTAGAAGGAACCTATCGGTAGAGGATATGTTAAATAAAATACTGTGCATCCAATGAGGTCAGGAGATCAAGACCAGCCTGACTAACACAGTGAAACCACGTCTCTACTAAAAATACAAAAAAATTAGCCGGGCGTGGTGCGTGACTGTAGTCCCAGCTACTCGAGAGGCTGAAGCAGGAGAATCACTTGAACCTGGGAGGTGGAGGTTGCAGTGAGCCGAGATCGCGCCATTGTACTCCCAGCTGGATGACAGAGCGAGACTCTGTCAAAATATGAAATAAATAAAATAAAGTCTGTGCATCCAAGCAGTGGAAGACCTTATGTGAAATGCTATATGGCCTTTAAAAAAAAAAAAAGACTGTGTCTATTTATCTCCACTTGTAGAGAAATGCAAAAAGTCCATGTATTTATATGTTAACAGCAGCATTATTCATAACAGACAAAAACCGGATGCAACCCAAGAGTCCATTAACTGTTGAATGGATCCAATGTGAATGGATCCAATGTGGTATATCTATACAGTACAATGGAACATTATTCAGCAATAAAGTAACACTACAATGATGAACCATGAAGGCATCATGCTAAGTGAAAGAAGCCAGGCAGAAAAACAACAATGTGTGTCCAGATAAAATGTCCAGAAAGGTGTTAAAAGAAAAACACTGGTGCTCACTATGGCAGCACATATACTAAAACTGGAACCATACAAAGAAGATTAGCATGCCCCTGGGCAAAAAAAAAAAAAAAAAGAAAAGAAAAGAAAAGCAAAAGAAAAACACTGGTTACGGCTTGGCCTTTGCCTTCTTTGAACATGGTTGCATAGTTTACCATGTTTGATTGGCCAAACCTCAACAATTGGCAAAGAGTAGGCTACAGTCTGTCGACAACTCCATTTAGGTTATAGTTCACGATGTACAGAGAAACCTTTAGGCTAAATTTAAAACATGTAAGGAGGCAGCTTTAGGCTAAACCTAATTTAGCAAAGGCAAATCTATGGAGGCAGAAAGTCTATGGGTGGTTGCCTGTGACTGGAGGTGAGATTGGAAGTGACTGCAAACGCACGCAAGGAATCCTTTTTGGACTGGCAGAAATGTTCCAAGATTGGATTGTGGTGATAGTTGCATAACTCTACTCACTTTGCTAAAATTAATTGCATTGTACTCTTAAAATGGGTGAATTTTGTGGTATATAAATTACGCCTCAATGAAACTGTTAAACACTGTGTATGAACTCATATGGAGAGACGGCCACAAGAACTGAGAGGAGCTAGAGGCACAAGCGTGTATAAAAAATGATGTGCAGAGACATTATTTCTGTAAGGATATCCAAGTAACAGTAAACAGTGGTTGCTCCTGAGCACATAGCGTTGGAGATCTGATATGGGAGGGAGACTTTGCTTTGTATACACCCCAAGCACAACATGAAAAGTTATTATTTATTTATTTAGAGAAAAGGTCTTGCTGTGTTGCCCAGGCTGGTCTCAAATTCCTGGGCTCAAGTGATCCTCCCACCTCAGGCTCCCAGTGTTGGGACTACAGGGTTATAGGTGTGAGGCATCACACCCAGGCTTTTTTTTTTTTTTGAGATAGAATCTTGCTTAGTTGCCCAGGCTGGAGTGCAGTGGTGCGACCTCGGCTCACTGCAACCTCCGCCTCCTGGGTTCAAGTGATTCTTCTGCCTCAGCCTCCTGAGTAGCTGGGACTACAGGTGTGTGCCACCATACCCGGCTAATTTTTGTATTTTTAGTACAGATGGGCTTTCACCATATTGGCCAGGCTGGCCTCAAACTCCTGACCTCAAATCTACCCGCCTCAGCCTCCCAAAGTGTGGATATTACAGGTGTGAACCACTGAACCCAGCTGAAAACTTACTATTTCTTTAAGAGATAGGGTCATGCTATGTTGCCCAGGCTAGAGTGCAGTGGCTATTCACAAGCGCGATCCCACTAATGATAGGCATGGGAGTTTTGACCTGCTCCATTTCCAACCTGGGCCGGTTCACCCCTCCTTAGACAATCTGGTGGTCCCCCACTCCCGGAAGGTCACCATATTGATGCTGAACTTAGTGCGGACACCAGATGGGCATCGCGCACTGCAGCCCAGAACTCCTGGCCTCAAGTGATCCTCCCACCTCAGCCTCCGGAGTAGCTGGGACTACAGGTACGTGCCACTGGCCCAGAGAAAAGTTATTTTTAAACATTTATTTGTATTATTTTTCAATTTAAAAATAAATTTAAAACTGAAAATATGTATGTGTACATTTATGTTAAACAAAAAAGAATGAGGAGGACATAATACATCAAATTTTTAGTAATTTACCTATTGTTCACTTTTTTCTTTTTCTTTCTTTCTTTTTTAAGATAGGGTCTTTCTCTGTTGCCCCAGGCTGGAGTGGAGTGGCTGTAATCATGGCTCACTGCAGCCTCCACCCCCATGGCCCCACAGGTAGGTGCAACCACCATGGTTAATTTTTTTTTTCCTCTCAGAACAAAAGCCACATTCGAAGTTTTGTGTTTTTTTTTTTTCTTTTCTTTTTTTTTTGAGACGGAATCTCGCTGTGTGGCACAGGCTGGAGTGCAGTGGTATGATCTCAGCTCACAGCAACCTCTACCTCCTGTGTTCAAGTGATTCCTCTGCCTCAGCCTCCCAAGTAGCTGGGATTACAGGTGTGTGCCACCATGCCTGGCCAATTTTTGTATGTTTAGTAAAGCTGGTCTTTCACCATGTTGGCCAGGCTGGTCTTGAATTCCTAACCTCGGGGTGATCTGCCCGCCTTGGCCTCCCAAAATGGTGGGATTACAGTTGTGAGCCACTGCACCTGGACAAAGCTTTTTTTTTGAGACAGTGTCTTCCTGTGTCATCAAAGCTGGAGTGCAGTGGCATGATCTTGGCTCACTGCAGCCTTGATCTCCCAGGCTAAAACTATCCTCCCACCTCAGCCTCATGTGTAGCTGGGACTATAGGCGCATGCCCCTACACCTGCTAATTTGTGGATTTTTTGTAGAGACAGGGTTTTGCCATGTTTCCCAGCCTGGTCTCAAACTCCTAGACTCAAGCGATCTTCCTGCCTCGTCCTCCCAAAATTCTGGAATTACAGGCAAGGGCCACCAGACCTGGCATAACTTTTTTTTTTTTGTGGCAGAGTCTCACTCTGTTGCCTAGGCTGGAGTGCAGTGGTGTGATCTCAGCTCAGTGCAACCTCCGCCTCCCAGGTTCAAGCGATTCTCCTGCCTCAGCCTCCTGAATAGCTGGGACTACAAGTATGCATCACCACACCTGTCTAATTTTTGCATTTTTAGAAGAGACAGGGTTTCACTATATTGGTCAGGCTAGTCTCGAATTCCTGATCTCATGATCTGCCCACCTTGGCCTTCCACATAATTTTTTTGATTTTTACTAGAGATGATATCTCACTATGGTGGCCAGGCTAGTCTGCAATTCCTGAGCTCAAGCAATCCTGCCTTGGCCTCCCAACGTGCTAGATTATAGGAGTGAGCCACTGCCCCCAGCCCAATTTTTCTTCCTGTAATCTCAGCACTTTGGGAGGCCAAGCTGGTAGGATCCCTTAAAGCCAGGAGTTCTAGAATGGTCTGGGCAACATAGCAAGACCTCATCTCTACAAAAAACAAGTAAATTAGCCGAGCATGCTGGCACTCGCCTGTACTCCCAGCTACCTGGGAGGCTGAGGCGGGAGGATCACTTGATCCCAGGAGTTCGAGGTTACAATGAGCTATGAACATGCCACTGTACTCCAAGCCTGGGTGAGACCCTGTCTCAAAAAAGAAAAAAAAAAAATTGTGAAAATAAAATGGAGGCCAGGTGCAGTAGCTCACATCTGTAATCCCAGCACTTCGGGAGGCCGTGGTGGGTGGATCACCAGGTCAAGAGATTGAAACCATCCTGGCCAAATGGTGAAAACCTGTCTCTACTAAAAACACAAAAAATTAGCTGGGTATGGGGCTGGGCGGGGTGGCTCAAGCCTGTAATCCCAGCACTTCAGGAGGCCGAGGCGGGTGGATCACGAGGTCAAGAGATCGAGACCATCCAGGTCAACATGGTGAAACCCCATCTCTACTAAAGATACAAAAAAATTAGCTGGGCATGGTGGTGCGTGACTGTAATCCCAGCTACTCAGGAGGCTGAGGCAGGAGAATTGCCTGAACCCAGGAGGCAGAGGTTGCGGTGAGCCAAGATCGTGCCATTGCACTCCAGCCTGGGTAACAAGAGCGAAACTCCGTCTCAAAAAAAAAAGAAAGAAAAAAAAAATCAGCTGGGTGTGGTTGTGTGGGTCTGTAGTCCCAGCTGAGATTTCGAGACTGCATGAGATTCTGTCTCAAAAATAATAATAATAATAGTAATACAAAAATTGGCCAGGTGTGGTGTCATGGTGTTGCTTGTTTGTAATCCCAGCTTCCCAGATACTCCCAAGGCTGAGGCAGGAGAGTTGCTTGAAACCAGGAGGCGGAGGTTGCAGTGAGCCAAGATCGTCTCAAGAAAAAAAAGAAGAAGGAAAAAAAAATTGGAAATAATGACTTGTGTTTTGCCCACTCATGGGGGTACTGTGAGGATCTTATTTGTATACAGAAATTTAAGCAGGGCTGCCAAGCGTAGGGAAAGGACCCAGTCACAACTCATCTGGGGATTTTCCTGGGCCACTCGGAAAGAAGTAGAAATCTCCATTCAGAGAGTGGGGAGACTCAGCAAATGTTTTTTGTTCTGTTTTGTTTTGTGGGGGGTATAAAGCTGGAGAGCTACTGTATTTATTGAATATGAGATGCCATCAAATGTAAAACAGCATTATTTTATTCTTTACTAAGGAAGACAGAAAAAATTGTCAATTAAATAATGACACACCTTTGATTATATGTCTGGGGTTTCTTTTTTTTCTCTTTTTGAGATGGAGTTTTGCTCTTACCGCCCAGACTGAAGTGCAGTGGTGTGATCCCAGCTCACTACAACCTCCACCTCTCCGGTTCCAGTAATTCTTCGGCCTCAGTCTCCCTAGTAGTTGGGATTACAGGCACCCACCACCATGCCCATCTAATTTTTGTATTTTTAGTAGAGGTGGGGCTTCACCATGTTGTCCAGGCTGGTCTCAAACTCCTGACCTCAGGTGATCCACCTCCTCAGCCTCCCAAAGTGCTGGGATTACAGGGGTGAGCCACTGCACCCGGCCTTGATTATATGCCTGGGTTTCTTTTTTTGTTGTTTTCTTTTTTTTTTTTTAATATGCCTGGGTTTCTAAGATGTTAAGTCTGAAAAATGTATGTATTGAAATAAATCAAACAGTTCTGTAGCTGCACGTTTCTCTCTTCCTGTTAGATGGGTGGACCACCTTACCACCGCCATCCCCCAGTCACTCTGCCGCAAATCGAATGCCTTCCTGCCCCTAAATGCTTCTCCATCCCCACTCCATCCAACCGGGCAGCAAATCTTGCCTTTTCCACTCAAGCTGCTGCCTGCCGCCAGATCTCTGACCGGGACCACTACGCTAGCCTCTGAACAGCCTGCTCATCTTACCCTTCCACTCCATTATTGATGCCGCAGCCAGCATCATCTTTCTAAAACTCTGCTCATCCCAGGCCCCTGCTTAAACATTTACATAGGCTGCATTTCCTGCGGGGTGAGGTCTGTGTAACTTGGCATTCGGCTTTTTAGGACCTGGGCTCTTGCCTGCCGTTTTACTCTCCTGGCACTTCCTCCAAGTGGAATTACTTGCTACTTCCCCAAAGCACCTTCCATTCTCAGGCTGCCAGGCCTTAGCACCAGGTGTTTTCTGTGATTGGACTGCTCTTCCTCACCAAGTGTTTATTGAACATATAGTAAGTGCCCGGAACTGAGAAGGAGCAGGGAGCAAGGCAGGCAGGATCTCATCTCAGTCCTTACTTAGGCTGGTGGGAGAGAGAAACAAACAAAACCGTAAGCATATACGGTAATTACCAAGTATAAACACACGTATAGGCATTTGTAAGTTTGTTGAAAATGTCAGGAAGGGAACTTAAGAGAACCGGTCAATAGGTGCAGCAAATCAACACAGCCCACGTAAACGTATGTAACAAACCTGAGCGTTCTGCACATGTATCCTGGAACTTAAAGTAAAAATTATTTTTTTAAAAAAAGGCCTGCACAGTGGCTCACGGTAGTTATCCCAGCACTTCGGGAGGTCGAGGCGGGGGTCAGGGGAGAATCATGAGGTGAGGAATTCGAGACCAGCCTGACCACCATAGTAAAAGCCCTTCTGTTCTAAAAATACAAAAATTAGACGGGTGTGGTTGTACGCGCCTGTAATCCCAGCTACTCAGGAGGCTGAGGCAGGAGAATCGCTTGAACTCCGGAGGCAGAGGTTGCAGTGAACCGAGATCGCGCCACTGCACTCCAGCCTGGGCGACAGAGCAAGACTCTGTTTCCAAAAAAAAAAGAAAGAAAGAAAAGAGAAAATATCAACCACGGCTTCGGAAAGCGGATTAGAACCCTGGATCCACCAGTGACTACCTATGTGACTTGGGGCAACAGACTGTGGACATCTCCACTTTTGTGTAATGGAAGTAATACCCGCCCACAGGACTTCGGGGAGGATTTAATATGAGATACATACAATCTCACCGTTTCCGCCAGGCCAGAGGGGCCCCTCCCATCCAGGGCGCGTAGGGGCCCCTCCCCGCCCAAGGCCGGGCCCCACCGCAGGCGGCTGCGGGCACCACTGTGTGTGCGCGTACCTGCCCCAACAGTCGACAGTTGACTCGGAGCCCGGGCTGCGGCTGCCAGGGTCAGGGACCAGGGCGTCGCCCCGCCCATCTCCCCACTTTGGGGGATAGCCCCCCTCGCTCATTCCCGCCTCCACCCTGGACTTGAATTACTGTTGGCGGAGGGCGGGGGGAGGGGGTGAGACGGGGGACGGGGCGTGACCCATTCATGCCGGGAATCGGATCCAGATGTTCCCGCGGCATGTGCAGCTGCATCCTTTCCTTTTTTGGCAAAAAACGTGCGGTGCGAGCGGATCCCGGGCCGCCCCCGCTAATCCTTGGGAAGAGGGGGAAGGGGGCTGAGAGGGTCTGGGCCCAGACTCGGGATCGGAACCGGGTCCTGGCTCTGCGGGCTTTGGGCAGGGCTCCTGGTGGAGGGGACGATTTGCACCAGCCAGTTAAGGAACCCCACCGCCACCCTAGCTTTCGTCTGGAACCTCCCCTAAACCCCTCCCTTCCCTAAATGAAGGAAAAAGCCCTCTGCCAGCAGGGAGGCAGGCCCAGCTCCAGAGGGACAGTAGCTGTGGCGGGGATCCCCTTCCTGGGGAGAGACTTCCCACCCGTGGCCCGGCCCCGCTTCCTCCGCCCTGCAAAGACGAGGTCTAGAAGAGATTCTGAGCCTCCCAGTCTGTAAATACCCTTCCCCTCTATATCCTGAACACACATACAGAGGCCCTGCTTCCTCACACCACTTTATTGCAGAATCTAGAAGGGGGGGTGAGCCAATCTCACCCCTCTGCCCATCTCTGGGCAAAATGGAGCTGAAATAAAATGAGGAGATACTTGGTGGACACAGGCTGGGCAGCACCCTGTCCCCTAAGGCCCCCTAACCAGTGGGCCCCTTATCTGCTGCCCCCAAAGCCAGCCTCAGCCCTGGGGATGGGGTGGGGTGGGTCGAGCCTGGGAACAGTAACTTTTGAGGACTTCTCAGGCACCCATAGGAGACCTAAAATCTATAAAGAGAAGTCTATGTTTAAGGGGGCCTAGGTCCCAGAGTTCGGGTTTGGAGGACTGGAGTCTAGAGCCCAGATTTGGGGAGAGGACTCAGTCTGGGAACCCAGACTGCAGGGCAGAGGGCTGAGTTCTGGAGTCCAGGTGTGGGGAAGGGGCTTGTCTCATGGAGGCTCCATAAGAGCCCAGGTTTGGGGGCCTGGCTCAGGGAGCACCAGTTTGGGGATGCTGGAGTAGGGAAACAATCCCGGAGCCCAGAGAGAGACCCACACTGGGGAGGGGCTGGGTCCCAGAGGTGGTTTAGAAGAGGAGCCACAGTCCTGGGGCAGTGGTACTGGAAAGCCTGGGCTCAGGAGCCCTGGCTCAGGGCCCTGCCTGGCTGCAGCCCTGGCAGAGCACTTGGTCTCCATCTGGCACGAAGCCTTGGCCCACGAGGGAGGTGGAGCAGCGGGCACAGGAGAAGCAGTTGTGGTGCCAGTGTCGGTCTTCAAAGGACACATACTTGCCTCCACCGAGTCCTGGAGGGAGGCCGGAAGTTAGCTCTGCAGATCCGGGGATGGTCTGGCCCTCAACCTCGCCCAATACCACATCCCACTCCCTTGCCTGCAACCCTACCCGCTCCATTCTTTGACCCTTGTCCCACCTACGATGGGGCGCTTGCAGCTGCTGCACTTAGGTGCAAAGAGTTCTCCAAAACAGGCTACACAGTACGGATCTTCATCCCGGGAGGTGAACTGCTGCCCTGCCAGGGGCGTCTGGCACCCAGTACAGACCAGACATTCCCGATGCCAGGGCTGATCGCGGTATGTCACTCCACCCTGTGTCAGCGTCTGTGGGGGCAGCATCCATTAGTAGGTATGAGTGGCGATTCCCACCCCACAACGGGCCTTACCCCCACCTAGCTGGCCCAGCCCCCACCTTGCTGCAGCGGGCGCAGCGAGGAGCAAACTTGTTCTCATAGCACGGCACACAGTAGTGAGCACCCTTGTCGGGCACAAAAGAACGGGAGCCCAGCGGCTGCTCGCAGCCACTGCACAGGAAGCAGTGCTCATGCCACGTCTGGCCTCCGTACTCCAGCTTCCGGGAACCTGTGGGGAACAGGGGTTACACTCAGAGGCTGTGTCCCACGCTCTTGAGGGCCACGCTCTGTTACTTCTCCAGAGTCTCCACTGCTCTCACAGCCTGAGCAGGGTGACGTCCATGCACATGCAGCAAGACCCCCCGCCAGGTACATTACGCATGCTAACCTCTCCCCAGACACCAGACATGATGACTCAGCACGAGCTAGACATGAGGATTTTGGCATATGTTAAGCCCCTGTATGTCCCAGATATGACTATTTCAGTACACAGCAAGCCTCCATGTAATAGTCATGAAGTCTCACTATGCGCTAAGTCCTCATATAACAGATGTGATGGTTTCAGCACTCACACGGGACCCCACATGTGTCAGGCAAATAAGTATCTGCCCACACAAAGTCCTAATGCCCTGGGCCTGACGGGTTCAGTACATGCTAAGCCCTCACATCTCCTCAGCACACCATTGCCCGTATGTGCTGAGTCCCAACATTTCTGTTAGGCATGCAGTTCCCCACATGTTAAGCCCTCTGTTTACCTGCCTCTGCACACGCTAAGACCCAATGCACCAAGCATGACAGTCTCAGCATGCCTCTAGCATCTACATGTACCAAACATGCAGATATTCACACATGCTAAGCCTCCAAGTATGTATCAAATGCGTCAATCTGCCAGCACATAGTGAGCCCCCAGGAGACCAGGCAAACAGATCCTGCATACACTAAATTTCCAGAAACACGGTGTTTGTGCAGGTTTTTACACAGACCAAGTATCCATGTATGAGACAGACACATGCCAAGACCCTACGCAGATGCCAGGCATGCCAGTTCTCATACAAGATAAGCCCCTTGGGGACATACCAGGCATGACAGTTTCCCCACAGGCAGAGCACTGCGAGGAAAATGCACTGCAGTAGCAGTCATTGCAGAGCAGCTCACTGTCCTGGCAGGTGAAGGGTTCATCAGCTAGTGAGCGCTGGCAGCGGCAGCAGCGGAAGCAGCCCTCATGGAAGTGGCGGTCTTCATAGAACAGTTCCTGTGGGGAACACAGCAGGGACGCTGGCACCCAGGCCTGGTAGATCCATCCTTTGCCCCCTTCCTCCAGTCACCACCCACCTCCTGCCCAGCTCGGTCCTCTCCTTACCCTCGAGTCATGCCCGATAAGCTGTTGGCACTCAGCACAGGTGTTGGCAAAGGTATTGTCATAGCAGGGCACACAGTAGGGGCCGCTGTCTGTCTGGATGTACTTGCGTCCATACAGGGACTCACTGCATTTTGCACAGTCAAATGACTCGCTCATGGTGGCAAGGGGAGAGAACCCTGTGGGGAGCACAAGGTAGAACTGGGGTCACGCAGAGGGGCTGTGACTTGGCTCCTGGCAAAGAGCCCTCTGCATTCAATACACAGCAAGAAACCTGGCATAGGAAATGCTGGTTCAGAGTAGGTGGGGATGGGGAAAGGGTGCTTCCGGGAAACCAGGAGTTCTGCATATTTCTTGCTGTATTTAACTGGGGGTAGGAAGAGGTCAGGAAAAAACCAGGAAGCAGAAGTTGTTTTCTTATCTAGGCCCTAGCAGATCTGGGGGAGGGGGCTTTTCCTGGGTCAGTGACTCATTTCCTGCCCCAGTCAGCGTTTAGCTTCCACTGTCCGGACTGTCCCCAGTGTGGGAGAAGCAGGGGCAGGGAGCCACCCGACTCTACTCCGTATGAGCAGTACTCCCACCCTCTCCTGACTCCCAGGAAGGGACCTTAGGAATATGGATAAAGGAACCCTTATCCAGAGCTCTGGAGTACAGAATTGAGAGATGGGAATGGGCTGTTCTTGGCCCCTCCTGATCCAGAAAACAGTGGAATGCTAGAGAGATGAATGGTGGAGGCCAGTGTGAGAGGTTGGGCCTTCCCTCCTGGAGAATCAGCCAAGCAAGGGGAACTTCAGAGGCTCAGCTTAGGCTCAAGCAGGAAGGAAATCCTGCAAGCTGGACACAGCCAGGCTTCCCCAGCTAGACCCTATGCCCTCATCCTCCCACCCCTGCTGTGGCTCTGGTCACACCAGCTTGGACAGCCTTGGCCTCAAACATCTGCAGCAGCTGTGGCGGCACAGATGGCCAGATGTCAGGTTCTGCCAGCAATTGGGAGAAAAAGGGAAAATGAAGTGTGGAGGGAGGCAGAGGGGAACTGGAGACAGACTGAGAGTGCAGTGTGCCCCTGCTGCCTCTTGCTAGCAGCTGGCAAAACCCCAGGATCTTTCCATCCCCTGGGGTCATGATTTCCCTCCCACTGCCTCAAGGAGAGACAGTCTCTCCCACCTTTTCTGATTTCTCAGGAATTGGGACTAGAGAGCTGAAAGGAGAGAGAGCAAGAGCCAGTGAAGACATTTTCTCCCCAGTCAGGCCCCATCTTGGGTGGGGGGCGGGGGTAGGACAAGGGGGAGCCTTGAGAGCTGCTGTTGGAGACACCCAGCCCCCCACCAAACCTCAGACACTTTCCATTTTCTCAGGAACAAAGCATGTTTGCGGGATGAGGTCATCCACACAGCTGCCTCTGGAACAGGAGCCCGGGGAGTGGAGCGGTAGGGAAGTGGGGTTCCCAGACCTTTCTACCACCCCGATTCCAGTCTCTAGCCCACAAGTCAGAGCTTCCACTCCTGCTCTCCTCCATCATGAAGCCTGCTCTCTAAGGGCTGGGATCCTGGGGTATGAAGAAGGGGATGTTCTCACAGCTGTGGATGAGCCCGGGGAAGTTACAGGGACATACAAAGGAATTCACCAACCCACTCTCCCACAAGGCCCCAGTGACTGGCAGTCACCAGAGCCTGCCCTGGCTCAAGCTGAAGGAAAAGTCCTCCTTTTCTCATCCACCCCCAGCTCAACATTCTTGACAAGCGCTGCTCTGGCTTGAAGTTCAGACTCCAGGCACCAGCAGATGCCCCTAGCTTGGAGGCCTGACTCTCCATACATCAAGCCTCTGTGCAATGGGACAACAGTAAGCTCCCACCCCAGGCCAGGGCATGAGGCCACCAGGAGCCAGGGTCTTTAGAGCTGGGACTCCTGGGGTGGGGCTATGGCATAGGAGTACCTCTTTCTCAGTTCCCTTCCTGCCACTCGGACCCAGGTTTCCTCTGGCCCAACATCTGAGGATTGCCCGGGCTGTCAGCCACAGGGCAGCAGGGGGCCACGCAGGTGGAATGCATCTACAGGGGGTGCCTGGGCCTCTTCCTTCCTTCTTGGCTTGGCCCACTTCGGCTGCCGGCTGCCACCGTCTCAGGCCCAGGCTAGCCCTGGGTCCACCCCCCGAGACTCCGAGACCAGGGCAACCCAAATAGGGTATGGGCATGGCTTCTGTTTCTTTCCCAGAATCCCCCAATGCCCTAGTCTATCCAGCTGGGCTCTGATGAGGACAGAGTGAAGGGCACCATCAAGGCCCACCTGTCTCTGCCCATACCCCTCTCCCCACCCTTTTCTCTGGCAAGGCTGGGGACTGAGGGGACTGAAGGGAGCCAGCCTTGTGTTCCTTCCTGGCTGGCAGTGAGGCAGGGCTTGGGGGAGACTGCTCCTCTACAAATGGCTCTCAACCCCTGCACCCCCAACAATCTCCCCCAACAAGGCACCTCCCAGGGAACCTTCTGGAGTTCAGAATGACTGTGTAACTGGCTGTAGTGTGTGGAGGGGCTCGAGCTGCAAGATTTGAATCCCAGCTCCTACACCTACTAACTGGGTGACCTTGGGCAAGTCACTTAAGCTCCCTAAGCTTGTTTTCCCATCTAATTACATGAGATGCTACTACTTCCTACCTCCTAAGGTTGTTGTCAGGCTTAAATGTGATGATAATTGTAAAGCACCTGGCAGATAATAAATACTCAGAAAATGGTAGCTATCAGTATTTTTACTGTTAGCGTCCTCTCTCATACTGCGGCCAGATAGCAGGTTTACAAGTAGGTCTGGATCAAGGAGCCGAACTGGAATTTTTTTTTTGTTTTGAGACAGAGCCTTGCTCTGTTGCCCAGGCTGGAGTGCAGTGGTGCGATCTCGGCTCACTGCACCTCCGCCTCCCGGGTTCAAGAGATTCTCCTGCCTCAGCTTCCCAAGTAGCTGGGACTACAGGCGTGCACCACCAGATGCAGCTAATTTTTGCATTTTTAGTAGAGACGGGATTTTTAGCCGCATTAGCCAGGGTAGTCTCAATCTCTTGACCTTGTGGTCTGCTCACCTTGGCCTTCCAAAGTGCTGGGATTACAGGTGTGAGCCACCGCACCTGGCTAGGACTGGAATTTTTAAATAGAGATGGGGTCTCAATATGTTGCCCAGGCTGGTCTCAAACTTCTGGGCTCAAGCTATCCTCTTGCCCTGGCTTCCTCTGGCGAAAGTGCTAGGATTACAGGCGTGAGTCACCATGACCAGCCCAGATTTTTTTTTTTTTTTTGAGACAGGGTCTCACTCTGTCACCCAGGCTGGAGTGCAGTAATGCGATCTTGGCTCACTGCAATCTCCGTCTCCAGGGTTCAAGAGATTCTCCTGCCTCAGCCTCCGGAATAGCTAGGATTACAGGAGCACACCACCATGCTAAGCTAATTTTTGTATTTTTAGTAGAGACAGAGTTTTGTGATACTGGCCAGCCTGGCTCAGCCTTTTTTTTTTTTTGAGTTGGAGTCTCACTCTGTTGCCAGGGCTGGAGTGCAGTGGCACAATCATGGCTCATGGAAGCCTCAAACTTCTGAGCTCGGCCAGGTGAGGTGGCTCATGCCTGTAATCCCAGCACTTTGGGAGGCCAAAGTGGTTGGATCACCTGAAGTCAGGAGTTCAAGACCAGCTGGTCAACATGGTAAAATCCCATCTCTACTAAAAAGACAAAAATTAACAGGGCATGGTGGTGGGCACCTGTAATCACAGCTATTCCGGAGGCTGAGGCAGGAGAAATGCTTGAACCCTGGAGGCCTAAGTTGCAGTGAGGCAAGATTGTGTCATTGCACTCCAGCCTGGTCGAAAAGAGCAAAATTCTGTCTCAAAAAACAAAAAAGTAACTTCTGGGTTCAAGCAAACCACCTGCCTCAGCCTCCTGAGAAGTTGGGACTACAGCCATGTGCCATCATGCTCAGCTAGGTTTTTCTATTTTTTGTAGAGATGGGTGTCTCACTGTGTTGCCCAGGCTGGTCTTTTAACTCCTGGCCTCAAATGATCCTCCAGCTTCAGCCTCGCAAAGTGCTAGGGTTACAGGCATGAGCCACTGTGCCCAGCCTGTTCTGAAATTTGACCTGGACATTCTCAGTGTAGGCTCAGGAAGAGAACAGGAGGCCCCAGGCCCATGGGACTTGCAGAAGACACCAGTGGGGCCAGTGTCCTGGTCACTCCAGCCTGGTCATCAGCCTGACTCTAGTAAGCATGAATCTGAGATCTCTCACACAGGTCCACGGGTGTTAGACACCTGCATGCTGCTTTGCCACTCGAAAAGTTCATGCCTATCCCATCTCATCAGATCTCACAAAAGGCAGGAAGGACAGAGTATCATTCCTTCCTGCCTTTTGTGTTATTCCTTCCTGCTTTTTGTGTAAAATGTATCCCCATTTTACAATTGAGGAACAGAGCAGGGTCATGCCCAAGATCACTCAGGTATCAGGACCCAGATCCCCTGCCTCCCAGCCCAGAGCTCTGCTGTCTCCCTAAAAATGCTGCCCTGGTGATGAAGGAGATGGTCAGCTTTTAAGGGCAGGGTGACAGGAGATGCAGCAGAGCCTGGCTCTTCTCCCTAGCTGCTAGCCCTGTGATTGGAAGGCACCCAGAAGCCTTTCCAATGACCCATGCCAACCATTCAACCCTTCTGTCCCCCACCCCCAACACACCCACTGTCCAGGAGGACCCTGGCCAGGTCCCACAGCTGTGAGTCAGGATCAGAACAGACCCCTCCCCCACCTTCTAGAAGCTGACAGGAGACTTGAAGGGAGAAATTCAACTCCCCCAACCCTCACCCTCTGCAAGCAGGCACCAGCCCCAAGCTCTGCTCTCCCCCATGGGGCCTGAAAGTCAGAGAAGTTTAGGGAAGGGGGTTGGGGAGCAGGATCCCGAAGCTGCTCTGAGGACAGGAGAGGAACAGTTCATTCACCCCAGTCCCCCAGGGCTGAGGCAGCCCGTCCAAGATTTGAGTTTAAAAATAAGTTAGGGCTGTCCTGGTGGCTGTGTGTGTACGCACGGGGCTCTTCTTGATCTAGAACTTACTGTCTCCGGGCCTCTGCCTCCTGAGGGATCAGTGGGCTCAGAGTTTCTGTGTCCCCAATGGTTCAGGCCTGGGTATGTCAGGGGCTGTCTTGGAAGCTGTCAGCCCACCTAGGTCTCTCTGCCTCCATTAAGTCTCTGTCTCTGCTCCACTGAGCATGTCAGTCTGGGCACACTTCAGCTGCTGTCTTTAGGTTTTGGACGGCCCTGTATCTTGACTGGCTGTCCCCCCATGGGCCCATGCCTCTGTGGATCTCAAGTCTTGGTCTCTTCTTGTCTACACGGCTGAATATCTCAATGCCTACTACCTCCCTTTCTCTGTCTCTGCATCCAGGTCTCTTTCGCCATCTCTGCATACCTGAATGTCTCTGTCTTTAGTCTCTTGGTGTCTCTGCAGGCCTCAGAGAGCAGACTCAGCATGATGCCACTGACACCCACGCCGCAGGGCACCTCCAAGGCCCAGAGAAGGGCCCTAGCAATGTGTTCGCTGGGGTTCTACGTAAGCTTTTTCTGAAAATGCTCCACAAAGCCTGGGTCGGCCCCCATGCCTCTGGTCTGTCCACCGGTAACTCCGTACGCCCAGTGTGTCCTTGTTTCAATGATCTCGATAGCCTCCTGTGCCTCGAGTCCCTGCCTGTCTCGGTCTCTCGCTCCACCAGGCTTTCCGAGAACCTCAGTTTCTCCAGCGCTCCTGCTCGGTCTGTCTCTCTCTGGCTTTTCTATTTCAAACTTAGCCCCCCTCCCCCGCCCAACTCTCGCTGCCGCCCCCGCCCCTGTCCCGCCGGGCAGCCCGGAGGGGTCCAGTCCGGGCAGGCGGTCTCCCGGGCTCGGCGTGTCCCGGGCGCCCGCCGCCAGAGCCCAGCGGGGACAGGGGGCCGGGGCCGCGGCTGGCCTCAGCCCTCCGTGGGTCCGCTCGCTCCCCGGCCCGGGCGAGGGGGAGGACGGCCGGGGCTGGGAGCCGGGGTCGGCGTGGCGCTCACCTCGAAGCGGGCGGCGGGCGGCGGGCGGCGGGAGCGGGGCGCGCGGGGCGCGGGCGGGGCCGGGAACCGGGCGCCGCGTCCCTCGGCGGCTCCTACCTGCGGGCCGGGCCGAGCGGGGGCCGAGCGAGCTGCCGGCGAGGCTGCCGACTGCAGGCGGACCGTGTGGGCGAGTGGGAGCGCGGCCCCAACCCCTCCCCGAGGAAGTCCGCGCCGGCCTGCCCCGCCCGGACCCCGCCCCCGGCCCCCCAGCCCGCCGCGGGGGCCAGACCCCGCCCCCACCTCCCTTTCGGCCGCTTGCCGGCCCGGCCCCCTCCTCCCTCCCGGCCTAACCTGGCTCTCCCAACCTTCGGGCAGCCGGGAACCAGCCCCTGTCCTCTCCCCGCAGCCGCTGCTGTCCTCCCCTCCCACCCCCATCCCCAGCTGCCAGAGGGAGACTGCTGTATTCCATCTCAGGCCGGCGGCACCAGACCCCGCAGACCACAGTCCATTGGGGAAAAGACTTCTGGCCCCCTCGGATCTCCCCGCAACCCCAACCTTAGCCCTAGGGGTGACACTCAGCCCGGCCTTAATCCAGGCTGGAGGAGGAGGTTTTGACTCTGCTGTCTTGAGGCTGTCAGCGGGTACCAAGGTGTTCTCTGAAAACATGGGGCAAAGAGAGGACCCTTCCCCACCATAGGGCCTTGACCTTCAAAGGGTTTTATTCCACAACTTTGAGTGACAAAAACAGGGTAACCACCTCCCCATCTCCAGCAGCCTCCTGACACTGAGAAGTCCTGCTTTGCCTGGGTTTCCGCAGTGCCCAGGAATAGTTTTGACCTTTGAAGCTCCGGGGAGACCCTAATCCTTGGCCCCATGATCTTTGGCTTCTAGGGAGAGGTGTGAGGAGTGTGAGAAGATGGGGCGCCACAGGGGTGGTGGAGGAGAGCGGAGGGGACCTCTGTAGTGTCTGAACCGCTGGCTTCCTTCCTCCCTGTGTCTGTGAGGAAGGACTGGCGCCTGCTAGGGACAGGAGGCCCCTCTAGGTCCTTGAGGCTACCCACCCCCCATCCTCAGGCTTGTCACTAGGAATAAATAGCCTTGGTCTGGAAGGGTGGGGAGGGAGGGAGGCAGGAGGCTCTACTGTGTTGTTTGGGGAAACAAGAGACAGCAAACCAACCCCGGAATAACCTTAGCATCTAGAGTGAAGATTCAGGTGCACAGAGACCTCCCCACACCCCAGACTGGGTGCAGCTGAGCTCTCAAGGAGGAACTAACACCCTCCCAGGCTGGGGCTCCTGAGAACCCTTCCCTCCCATTTCTGTGTCATGCCTGGGTTCCTGGGTCCCAAGTCACCTTCCAGGCCTGGTTTCCTTTCAAAATTAAATCATTGCTTGTTTATGATTGCTGTTGTTGCCTAAATGGTAAGAGCCATGAAGGCAGGACTCTTTTTTTGTTCACCACTGCCTTCTCAGTGCTTAACCCAGGGTCCGGTACATCATAAACATCTGATGACTGAATGGATGACAGACACTGCTTCAGTATGGGTGTCCCTCTAACATCCTCAGTTGGGATCACAGGCATCTGCTTTCTAGAGTCCAGGCAGTGAGCATCCAGCCCATGGATGGGGCCTTTCTCTGGGATTTTTTTTTTTTTTTTTTTTTTTTTGAGACAGAGTCTCGCTCTGCTGCCCAGGCTGGAGGGCAGTGGCGTGATCTTGGCTCACTACAACCTCCACCTTCCAGGTTCAAGCAATTTTTCTGCCTCAGCCTCCCAAGTAGCTGGGACTAAAGGTGCATGCCACCACGCCGGGCTAATTTTTTTATATTCTTAGCAGAGACGGGGTTTTACCATATTGGCTAGGCTGGTCTTGAACTCCTGACCTCATTATCTGCCTGCCTCAACCTCCCAAAGTGCTGGGGCCACAGGTGTGAGCCACTGCACCTGGCCTCTCTGGGATTTATCTGGCAGGTGTAAGAAACTCCCAGCCCAGGGCAAAGCAGTGAAGAGTACTCAGTCTTGGTAGAGTGGGTACCAAGAGGAGGTCAGCTCTGGGCTGATGGGAGGGCAAAGGTGGGGCCCCTTCAGAAAGCGGGAGTTTATGAGTGGGTGCAGAAGGGCCCGATGAAAGGCAGAATATTGGAATCTCTGTTCTTGATGCATGGCTCTAATCCCTCCTAACTAGTCATAACAAGAGCCAGTACTTCCTGAATTCTTTTTTTGCACCAGTCCTAAACATTTTACATATATTAACATACCTTATTATTCAAGAACTTTATTAAATATATGTATATATATTTTTTGTTTGTTTGTTTTGATACAGTGTGTTGCTCTGTCACCCAGGTTGAAGTGCAGTGGTGCAATTACAGCTCACTGTAATCTTAACCTCCTGGGCTTAACTGATCCTCCGACCTCAGTCTCCCAAGTAGCTGGGATTATAGACAGGCATGGGCCACCACACCCAGCTAATTTATTTTAATTTTTATTTTTTGTAGAAGCAGGAGTCTTATTATGTTGCCCAGGCTGGTCTTGAACTCCTGGGCTCAAGTGATCCACTTGCCTTAGCCCCACAAAGTGCTGGGATTACAGGCATGCGGCACCACGCCTGGTCTAAATATATATTTTTTATCCCCATTTTAAAGATGAGAAAATGGAGGCATAGAGAGATTAAGTAACCTGGCAAGGGCGACACAGGTAATAAGGGCAAAGTTAGGATTCAAATCCAGATTGTTGGCTGGGCATGGTAGCTCTTGCCTGTAATCCCGGCACTTTGGGAGGCTGAGGCAGGAGGACTGCTTGAGCCCAATAGTTTAGGACCAGCTCTGGCAACAAAGTGAGACCCCCGCCCCATCTTTATTTAACGAAAAATCAAATCAGCAGGGCACAGTGGCTGTAATACAGGCTGGGATCATACCTGTAATCTCAGCACTTTGGGAGGCCGGGGTGGGCAGATCACGAGGTCAAGAGTTTGAGACCAGCCTGGCCAACATGGTGAAACCCCATCTCTACTAAGAATACAAAAATTGACTGGGTGTGGTGGCACTTGCCTGTAATCCCAGTTACTCGGGAGGCTGAGGCAAGAGAATCACTTGAACCTGGGAAGCAGAGGTTGCAGCAAGCCAAGATCGCACCATTGCACTGCAGCCTGGGCGACAGAGCACGACTCCATCTTGGTGGGGAGGGAAAAAATAATCATATCTAGATAGTCAGATGTCATAGCGCTTATGCCAAAAATGAGCTTCACCATTAGGCTCTAGTATCTGTAGTCATTTTATCTCTGTAAACCTCAGTCTTCTTGCTGTGAAAAGTGAATGACTGCCTCACAGCATTGTTGTAAGGATTGGATGAGAGCACATAATAGGCTGTTAATATGTGGGGACAGTCCCCCTTTCATGGTCAAATGTTAAGGTTCGGCTGCTTAGCCTTGGAGTCTGGGGGTCAGAGAGTTAGCTCTCTGGCTTGGGCCCACCTGGGCTAGGGAAACCAGCCTAGGGGCAAGCTGCCCACAGGGAAGCTGTGTCTCCCCGTCTCAATTTCCACTCCCCAGTGGGCTCACATTTCCCTGCTCACTCTATTTTCGCTGGCCCAGGAGGATGTGCCCCAGGAAAGTCCTGGGATCAGCCACATGGACTCCCTGTTCCTGTTCCC